TTCAGGACTATATTGAATAACAATGCTGAGAGTGGGCATTCTTGTTTGGTTCTGGATCTCAGCGCGAGTGCTTTCAACTTTTCTCCAGTCAATAGGATGCTGGCCGTGGGTTTGTCATAAATCGTCTTCATTGTATTCAGGAGTGTTCCTTCTGTACCAAACTTACTCAAGGTTTTCATCATGAAAGGATGTTGTATTTTATCAAATGATTTTTCTGCATCTGTTGAGATAACCATATGGTTTTTATTCTTCAGTTTTTGTTATTGTGTTGTATCATATTGGTTGATTTTCAAATGTTAAAATATCCCTGCATTTCAGGGATAAATCCCACTTGATCTGGGTGAATGATATTTCTGATGTGTTGTTGGATTCAATTAGCTAATATTTCGTTGAGGATTTTTGCATCTGTGTTCATCAGGGAAATTGGTATGTAGTTCTCTTTCTCTGTCGTTTCTTTCTTCTGGCTTAGGATTTAAGGTGATGCAGGCTTCATAGAAGGAATTTTGGAGGATTTCCTCTCTTTCAGTTGTTTTTTGTTTTGTTTTGTTTTTGGTTTTGGCAGGCAGAGTTAGACAGTGGAGAGAAAAAGAGAGAGAAAGGTCTTCCTTCCGTTGGTTTACCCCCAAATGACCACCATGGCCGGCACACTCTGCTGATCTGAAGCCAGGAGCCAGGTGCTTCCTCCTGGTCTCCCATGCTGGTGCTGGGCCCACTGCCCTCCCGGGCCACAGCAGAGAGCTGAACTGAAAGAGGAGAAACCGGGACAGAATCCGGTGCCCCAACCAGGACTAAAACCCGGGGTGCTGGCGTTGCAGGCAGAGGATTAGCCTAGTGAGCCACTGCGCTGGCCACTTTCAGTTGTTTTAAATAGCTTGAGAAGAATTGGAATTAGTTCTTCCTAAATGTCTGGTAGAGTTCAGCAATGAAGCTGTCTGTTCTTGGGCTTTTCTTTGTTGGGAGGTCCTTTATTACTGATTCAATTTCCTTTTGGTTATTGATCTGTTTAGGTTTCCTGTGTTGTCATGACTCAATTTTGGTTGGTAGGTTATATGTGTCTAGGAATCTATCCATTTCTTCTAGGTTTCCCATTTTGTTGGCATACAGCTCTTTGTGGTAATTCCTGATGGTTCTTTTTGTTTCTGTGGTATCTGTTGTTGAATTTCTTTTTTCATCTCTTTTTATTGAGTTGGATCTTCTGTCTGCAGTACAAAAGTGTTTAATTTTGAGGACATCCATTTATCAGCCTTTTCCTGTTATGGTTCTTACTTTTGGCACCAATCTATAAACTCTTTGTCTATCCTAGATCTTGTGAAGTTTCTCCTATGTTTTCCCTCTGTGTTTTACAGTTTCCATTTAGGTCTGTGATCTCTTCTGAAATAATTTTTGTGTAAAGCAGAAGATATACAGGAGATTTAGATAGAAGATTTGCATTTGTTATTTCAGCACCAATTGCTGAAAACCTTTTGTATAATAGGTAATTGGGACCCATCAAAACAAATTCCCTAATTCCATTTCCTTTATCTTGACAACACTGCAGGCCGAGAGGTAGGGTGGTGAACTAGAACTGGTTGGGTTTCATTCAAGCCATCTTCCTGGAAGTGCTGGGATTCCTGGGAGCATCAGTAGCAGCAGCAGAAGCAGCAGGCTGAGGGGCAGGTGGAGCTCTCACACTCTCCCTGATGCCACCCAGGGCAGTGTTGCTTTTTGTTATTGTGTCAGTCTGTTTTGTGGTTTGATACAAGGTCTCCCCAGCTAAAAGAAGCTGGGGGACCATTGGATTGGATAACATCTGAAAGGCCTTTTTGTACAAAACTGCCATGATTCTCAGTGTTTGGTGTCAGAACTCAGACAGCTATATGCCTGTAGGCTCCTCACTTAGCTTATTTTTTCTTTGAAGATTTATTTGTTTACTTAATTGAAAAGCAGAGTGACAATGAGAGAGAAATAGAGAAACAGAGACAGTTCTTCCATCCACTGGTTTACTTCTCCTTCCATCCACTGGTTTACTTCTCCTTCCATCCTCTGATTCACTCCTCAAGTGGCCCAGGATAAGCCAAGCCAAAGCCAAGAGCCTGGAACTCCATCCAGGATACCAGCATCAGTGGCAAGGCACCAAGCACATGGGCCATCATCTTCTGCTTTCCCAGGCACATTAGCAGAGTGCTGGATCAGGAATGGAGCAGCTGGGACTCAAACTAGCCTCCAATATGAGATGCTGGCGTTGCTAGACCTGGCTTAATTTGCTGCCCCACAACTCTTAGCCCCCTCCCTTAGATTCTTGAGGGCTTACTCATATGAAATTCTTTTTCTCTTATCCTTTCAGCTGTTTTCATGAATATAATAATCTTGGTGAAATCAGTTAACTTACACTTCATAAATCAATTTGCAAACTGTGTGTCAGAAATTGAAAATGTGTTAACTATCATAAGACTTTGCAGCAGAATCACCCATCTCAGAATTATCCTGATTGGAAGTGAGGGTGAGGAACTGAAATCTACATGGACTGTGACCCAAATGTACCTTTCACAAAGAGCCACCTCATTCTTACCATCCACCTGTGTGGCTCTTGCCTGCCACAAAGTACTTACAACAGTTTTTCATTCACAAAGGGTTTCTTATAAAAGCTTTTTGAGATAAACAAGTCAGTCTTATATTCTTATGCTTGTTTTCCTAATGAGGAAACAGACTGAGTTATCAGCCCAAATTGAAAAGAACTAGCAAGTAGTAAGTAGAAGTCTGAGAGAAGGGCTTGCATCATTAACACTTTGCACTGCTATTCTTCATCTATATTTTTCTAATATAATGGTTTTGGTGGGTATTTTCCAAAAGCTGGTATGCTACTGTAGCATTTCATCTATAAAATGAGATAATAATATGATAGTCTCAGATCATTGTGAGGGTGTTTTTCAGTGAAATGGGGTTAAATGAGATAGTGCATTGGAAAAAAAAGTTACACTATGTGCTCCCTGTAAATGATGGTTCTCATTATAAACTTGGCTGAATTTGGGAATTCCAGTCAACAGCAGTGTATGTTTGCTGCTTCCTCTTCTTGGTCAATGTGTTTTTTTTTATATTATAGTGGATTATCTATTTTTCCTTTTAGTACCCATGGGGTTCAATTGTGAACTGCCATATTGATGAGGCTCAGGGATATTTGAGAGAGTGGTTAGACTTGATTGTTTCCATAAAGTTGTTTTAGTAGTTATTTTTCAACAGATGGACAGCTCACATTTGGTCACATTTCTGTGGCAGTATGATGATTGAAATTTCAACAGATGGTATACAAATACTTGGGAAAACACCCTTCCATTATTGAATGCTGCAAAAAAGATCTTTAGAGTGCCAGAAAAACCATAGTCTACATTCCAAGTCCTTAGCCTGAGCTATTATAATTATAACTTAAATGATTTGGAAGTTTATATTTCTGGCACTCAGAATTATTTTGTAATTGAGTGTTCAAATCTGTAGTAGAGTGAGATGAGAAGGAACACTGTTGTCAATTAGAGATTCAATGTCGACAAAGCATTAGATCTTGATTCCACTCATGACTAGATCTTGAGTCCACTCATGACAGACATACTTAACTCCCTCTTGCTGAGTCATTCTACTTTTAGGTCATACACAGAAAATGTAACTCTTCATATAAATCAACCCTCAGAGACTTAAATGTTCTTTCTGATAAGTATTGACTTAGCAGGGGAAAACAAAAAACTCACCAAACTTAGAACTTTCAGACATATTCATCAATGTGATGAACTCCCCAGCCTTTCTGTGCTCATGTCCCACTCCTGCTGTGGACCGCCTTGCACTGCTTCTGAAGTCAGGAAATGAGCAGTCAGACAGTAAGTGGGGCAGTAAAGGGAGTGATGGGACTCAGTGGTGGCATCTGTGGTGTGTAATATAACAAAGGGCATTTATCATTTGGTAGTGAATGGAAGCCAGAATGCCTACACTTACACAATCCACAACAAAGTTCTTAACAAGGAAGAAATATCCTGTAACCTACATTACACCTGAATTTCTGGCCGGGCACCATCTGAGCCTGGAATATATCTTTTTATTTTCAGAGTTCTAATATCACAGAAAACCAGCATCCACATATGCCTCTGCTCCTTGATTTTTATGCTGCTAAATGAAAGGCTGAAAGGCTTCTAATCTTATCCTTTTGTTTCCTGACTTTCTCTTGCTCAGTACAAGCATAAACACTTTATCCTGTCTTTTCCTATAGTCATGGACCGAGTATTTACCTAGTAAAACAGATACCTGTTAAGTTCACATTTTTTCCCTTTCTAGTCCAAACAGGGCATATATTATATTTAACACTTGAGAAATTTTGTATAAGGTAAGTTAAATTTACCAAGAGAGAATGATAAAATGTTTGTGCCACTGGATTGTTGGGCATTGCCTAAAATCTCCATTACAATATGGCGCCTGGCAGATGTTCGAGGGGCGTGTCTACAGCTGCCATGGTTAAGCTATGTAAGATCAGACCACCTGCAGGGATAGGTCTGCTTTAGTTCTGGACATGTGGACAGTGCGTGATCCCTATACTTTGCTTAAGATGCCCCTGTGCGTGGTCCACTCATGCCTGCATGACCTTTTCTCTGATTGGCTCCCCTACTGTGCATGTCCTTCTAAGCTTTATAAGCCTGTACACTTCTTCAATAAAGCGGTTCCTGCTTCGACAGAACTCACGGATGCTTGTTGTGTGTTCATCACCCATCGACCTTACCTTGTTGGGGAGTGCTTGCACTGCCCCTGCTGGTTAGGGGCTAGCACTGGGCTTGAGACCCCAACACTGGATTTCATCAGAATGAGAAGCAATGGCAGACAACTTCTTTCTCTATTTGTTACATGTGCTCACATGCTTCAGTGTTGGACTCATTCAGCTAAAAAGACAGTGGTATGGATCTGTATGCCTTTGCCTCTGGGGGATCCTTAAGCTGATTCTCTCTGGGCAAGTTCTATCAGCTAGAACTTCTTTGTGTCTGTCGTTGCAGATGGAGTTCAATGATTGCTTCAGTTTGACCTACCCTGGCAATCCCTACCCAGGGGACTTGATTGAAGTATTCCGTCCTGGCTATCAGCATTGGGCACTGTACTTAGGTGATGGTTATGTTATTAACATAGCACCTACAGGTAAGGATTGTTTCCAGTGGTTTCTGGAAACTTTTTAGTTTTCTTGGAATGAGGAGTCATGAATGAAATCATCAAACAAAAAGAAACAAAATGTTGCAGGTAGATAAACCCAGCATATCTAGGTTTAGGATTTAGGAAGGATATTTGAAGACCAAAGGCTAATAACACCAATTCTTGCTATGAAAAATACCACTGCAAATTACAGAAATAGATGTCAGAGTGCAGATGAGTGATGTGGAAAAAAGAAGTCAATGACATGGGATGACAACAGCTGAGGATAGTGTGGTGGAGTTTGGAGGTACCGCAGTTGTAAATGAAGTGGTGAGGAAAATTTTATAAGAAGGCATTTGAAGAAAAGCAAGAAAGAGGTGAGGAAAGCACTCAGATGAGATCTGGGGAGAGTGCCCTGCAGCAAAGGGACAGCAAACACCAAAATCCCCACAAATAAGTGAGGATTATGAATTATGAACAGTTTGCATAAGAAGAAAAGAATCTCTATCTCTCTCTCATACACACACACACACAAACACAGATTTAATTCCAATATTCTAGTCATCTAGGAATTGTAAAATAAAACAGTTTTTGTCTTATTAGCAAAAGCTCAAATGTGATGTCAGTCAGGGTTATTGAGGATATAGTGAAAGGAATACAAAGATCTTATTGATGGAACTGTTGATGGATAAAGGTGTTCACAAAAATTATTTGACAGTGTATGCTAAGAGCCTTAAAAAGAGTTCATATGCTCTTATCCTGTATTTGTACTTCTAGCATTCCATTCTGGGGATATATTTAAAGATGTAGATGGATACTTCTCTCTAAGGTATTCACATCTGTTCCATTTATAATGGTTTAAAAATAGACAATGGCTAATGCTGAATAGAAGAATAATTAACTTATGATTTCACCACAGAATATTAGGAGTCTGTATTTAGATGAATTCTTTGGTTTCTTGTAACATAAAGCTGGACTTGGCTTAAACAAAAAGGCAAATTCATTGCTGTACTGATGGAAACTACATAAAGAGCAGAGGTGGTGCTGCCCTACAGATAACCTGTACTAGGGGTTTGAACACTATCTAGAAGCTCCATCACGTACCTGCATAAGATGTAACTTTACATTTTAAAATCCATATGAATGGTTTCAAGCATTGGGCTTTTATCCTAGAGATAGAAATTCAGTTTGGTTCTATTAACTATTGTGGTGTGCTTTCCAAGCAACTTTACTTCTCCAAACTTCCATTTCCTAATTTTGTCATTGGGCTAGTTAAAAAAAAAAAGTAATTCTAAATAGGATATATAAAGTTACTTCAAAAACATCCGTGGAAAATGTGTATTCTTGAAAAGCTATGCATAGATCCCAAAATTATTTTGCATTAAAGTAAACTTATCTTTTAAATCCATTTTCTGTGCACTTTTTGAAGTGTCCTCATACAAGCCCTAAGGACTTGCAACTTGCAAGAACCTTTAATGTGAGATATTAACTGGAAATATTACACCACTGAGAAGGAAAATAGGCAAAAGAGTAGTAGAAATGAAAGTTCACTTTTAGTCCCTAGAAAAGGAAACATTTCTCAACACTGTTTATGGAGATGCCTTTCCTCTTGTTGCTCACCTGGACATGCAGAGTTTAGCAGCTGCAGTGCAGGCCACGGGGAGGGCCCACAGTCTGGCATTAGACCTTTAAACTGAGTAATTACCTGTCTAGCCTCCAGTACTGGCAGTGGCAGACCAGTCTACACAGGTTTCTGGCAATGTAGGCAAATGCTTTCCAATAAAGGTAGCTGAGGTTGAGTGGCAGTGCACCAGGAATGGTTAACAGGTCATTGGGACATGGCATGGAGCTACATCTAGTGGACAGTGCTTAGCAGGTGAGCTTTGGTTTAGGACTTACTTTCTTAGCCAAAGGAGCTGGCTAAAGAAAAGCAGAACCTTACTCTATTAAGAATGTACTCTCTAGAATACTATACACCAGTCAAAAACAATGAAATCTGGTCATTTGCAACAAAATGGAGGAATCTGGAACACATCATGCTGAGTGAAATAAGCCAGTCCCAAAGGGACAAATATCATATGTTCTCCCTGATCGGTGACAACTAACAGAGCACCAAAAAGGAAACCTGTTGAAGTGAAATGGACACTATGAGAAACGGTGACTTGATCACCCATAGCCCTGACTGTTGATGAACAAATTAATACTTTATCCCTTTTAGTATTGTTTTTGTTTGTTCTACTTAATACTATTGGTTGAATTCTGTAATTAATACACAATTATTCTTAAGTGTGGAAACTTAACTGAAAGTGATCTCTGTTAAATATAAGAGTGGGAATAAAAGAGGGAAGAGATGTACAATTTGGGACATGCTTAAGCTGACTTGCCCCAAATGATAGAGTTAGAAACGTGCTAGGGGATTCCAATTCAATCCCATCAAGGTGGCATGTACCAATGCCATCTTACTAGTCCAAGTGATCAATTTCTGTTCTCAATTGATCATAATGATAGGACCAAGAGTCAAAGGGAACACATAAACAAGACTAGTGTCTGCAAATACTAACTGATACAATAAAAAAGGGAGAACACTCCAACATGGGAAGCGGGATACACAGCAGACTCATAGAATGGCAGATGTCCTAAATAGCACTCTGGCCTCAGAATCAGCCCTTAAGGCATTTGAATCCAGCAGAAAAGCCCATGAGAGTATTTCAGGCATGGAAAGCCAAGACACTCTGGCAAAAAAACAAAACAAAACAAAACCTATATGAAAGATCTCTGCAAGTGAGATCCCAGTGGAAAGAACAGGTCATCAAAGAAGGAGGTACCTTTCTCTGAAGGGAGGAAAGAACTTCCACTTTGACTATAGTCTTGTCTAAATATGATCAGAGTCGGTGAACTCAAAAGGCTTCCATAGCCTAGGCAAATCATGACTAGAGCCTAGGGTGATTACTGAAGCCATAAACAAGAGTGTCAGTTTGTTAAGTCAACAACAGGAGTCACTGTGCACTTACTCCTCATGTAGGATCTCTGTTCTTAATGTGCTGTACATTGTGATTTAATACTATAACTAGTACTGAAACAGTATTTTTTCACTTTGTGTTTCTGTGTGGATGCAAACTGTTGAAATCTTTACTTAATATATACTAAACTAATCTTCTGTATATAAAGAGAATTGAAAATGAATCTTGATGTGAATGGAAGGGGAGAGGGAGTGGGAGAACGGAGGGTTGCAGGTGGGAAGGAGGCTATGGGTGGGGGAAGCCATTGTAATCCATAAGCTGTACTTTGGAAATTTATATTCATTAAATAAAAGTTTAAAAAAATTTAAAAAGTGCCTGGAAAGTGAACACTGTGGGGGACAAAAAACACTTCAGCTCTTGGTTTGGCTGCTGTGACCTATTTCAATAAAATTACTATTTCTTTAAAAAAAAAAAAGCAGAACTTTAGCATGACCTCAGCTGACTGTTACCTTGAAGGTTGCAGAATATGTTCTTCTCACCGGTGCATGGAACTGTGTCTGGGATTGACCATATTCTAGGCCATAAAACAAGTCTCAACAAATTCAAAAACATCAAAATCATACCATGCAAATTCTCAGACCATAATGGAATAAAGCTGGAAGTCAACACTCAGGAATCTCTAAAACACATGTAAAACATGGAGACTGAACAACATGCACCTGAACGAACAGTGGGTCATTGCAAAAAATCAGAAGAGAAATCAAAAAATTTCTGGGCACTAATGAAAACAAAAGTATAACATATCAAATTTATGGGATACAATAAAAGCAGTGTTAAGAGGAGAGTTTATAGCAATTGGTGCCTACATCAAGAAATTGGAAAGGCACCAAATAAATGAGATATCAATGCATCTGAAGGACTTATTAAAACAATAGCAAACCAAACTGAAAACTAATAGGAGAAAAGAAATAATTAAAATTAAATAAGAAATAAACAAAATTGAAACAAAAATAGTACAAATTCTCAATGAAATGAAAAAATTAAAAAAATTCAGACAACATAGGCCTGATACAAATTTTTGAAAAAATAAAATTGACACACCATAGGTACAACTAACCAAAAAAAAGGAGACCCAAATCACTAAAATTAGAGATGAAAAAGAAATGGAACAACAGACATAACAGAAATGAAGAGAGTCATCAGAAATTATTACAAAGAGCTGTATGCCAACAAATTAGGAAACCTAGAGGAAATGGATACATCCCTGGACACATACAGCCTACCTATATTGAGCCTTGAAGATATAGAAAACCTAAAAAGACCAATAATCAAGACAGAAATTGAATCAGTATTAAAGACCCTCCTAACAATGAAAAGCCCAGGTCTGGATAGCTCCACTGCTTAATTCTACCAGACATTTAAAGAAGAACTAACTCCAATTCTTCTCAAGCTATTCAAAACAATTGAAAGAGAGGGAATCCTCCAAATCTCCTTCTATGAAGCCAACATCACCTTAATCTCTAAACCTAAAAAAGATATAAAAGTGAAATAGAACTATAGACCAATTTCCCTGATGAACATAGAGGCAAAAATCCTCAACAAAATACTATCCAATCAAATCCAACAACACATCAGAATGATCATTCACCCAGACCAAGTGGAATTTATTCCTGGTATGTACGGAATTTTGAGCATTCCCAAATCAATCATTGTGATAGATCACATTAACAAACTGCAGAATAAAAACCATATAATTATCTCAGTAGATGCAGAGAAAGCATTTGATAAAATACAACAGCCATTCATGATGAAGACTTTAAACAAATTAGGTATAGAAGGAGCAGTCTTCAACATAATCAAGGCAATTTATGATAAACCCATGACCAGAATCCTACAGAATGGGGAAAAGTTGGAAGCATTCCCACTGAGATCTGGTAATAGACAAGGTTGCCCACTCTTAATATTGTCCTGAAAGTTTTAGCTAGAACCATTAGTCAAGAAAAAGAAATCAAATGGATACAAATTGGGAAGGACAACTTAAAACTATCCGTATTTGTAAATGACATTATACTATATATAGGGGATACAAAAAAAGACTCCGCTAAGAGACTATTGGAACTCATAGAAGAGTTTGGTAAAGTGGCATGGTATAAAATCAAAACACAATAATCTACAGCAATTTTATACACAGACAATTGCACAGTTGAGAAAGAACTTCTAAGATCAATCTTAGAAGTGCTAACAAAAAATGAAATACCTTGGAATAAATTTTACCAGAATGTCAAAGTTATCTTTGAGGAGAATTACAAAACATTAAAGAAATAAATAGAAGAAGACACAACAAAATGGAAAAATCTTTAATGTTCATGGATTGGATAATCAATATCATTAAATGTTCATATTACTGAAAGTGATTTACAGATTGAAAATGATCCTAATTAAAATATTAAGGACATTTTTCTCAGATATAGAAAAAATGATGCTGAAATTCATATAGAGGCACAGGAGACCTCAAATAGCTAAAGCAAACTTATACCACAAAAATAAAGCCAGAGCCATCACAATACCAGATTTCAAGACATACTACAGGGAAGTTATAATCAAAATAGCCTGGTACTGGTACAGAAACAGATGGATAGACCAATGGAACAGAATAGAAACACCAGAAATCAACCCATGCATCTACAACCAACTTATCTTTGACAAAGTAGCTAAAACCAATTAAGGACAATCTCTTCAAGAAATGGTGCTGGGAGAACTGGATTTCTACATGCAGAAGTATGAAGCAAGGCTCCTACTTTACACGTTACACAAAAATCCACTCAAAATGGATTAAAGACCTAAATCTATGAGCTGATACCATCAAATTATTAGAGACATTGGGGAAACCCTAAAAGACATTGGCATAGCTAAAGACTTCTCAAAAATGACCCCAGATACACAGGCACTCTAAGCCAAATTAACAAATGGGATTACTTCAAATTGAGAAGCTTTTGCACTGCAAAAGAAACACTCAGCAAAGTGAAGGGGCAACCAACAGAATGGGAGAAAATATTTGTAAGCTATGCAACTGAGAAAGAATTAATAACCAGAATATATAAAGAATCAAGAAACCCAACAACAACAAAACAAACAACCAACTTAAGAAATGGGCAGAGGACTTAAATAGGTTTTTTTCGAAAGAGGAAATACAAATGGCCAACAGACTAATGAAAATATGCTCAGAATCACTAGCTGTCAGGGAAATGCAAATCAAAATCACAGTCAAGTTTCACCTTGACCCTGTTAGATTGGCTTTCATACAGAAATCAATGCACAACAAATACTGACAAGGATGTGGGGGAAAAGGTATCCTAATTCACTGTAGGTGGGAATGTAAACTGGTAAAGCCAATATGGAAGACAGAATGGAGATACCTCAGAAATCTGAATATAGACCTACCACATGACCCAGCCATCCCACTCCTGGGAATTTATCCAAGGGAAATGAAATTAGTATTTGATAGACTTTTCTGTACCCTCATGTTTATTGCAGCGCAGTTCACAATAGATAAGATATAGAATCAACCCAAATGCCCATCAACTGAAGACTGGATAAATACATTATGGGATATGTACACCGTGGGATACTACACAGTGGTAAAAAAAATCCTGTCTTTGCAATAAGATGGATCAAACTGAACAACATTATACTTAGCGAAATAATCCAGTCCCCAAAGGACTAATACTATATGTTCTCCCTGACCTATGATAACTAAAAGGTAATCTATAGGTGTGAAACTTCAAGATGCAATGACTTTGAATAGTCTTTGTCTCAACTATTGAGGGACAATTATTTTTTTCATATGATCTGTTGAACTCTACTTAGTATAGAGTTAATTGTATGTGTATAAATTAATTGAAGATAGATCTTAGTAAAAAAATAAAATAGGAATAGGAGAAGGAGGAGGAAGAGGGGTGGGAGTCTGGGTGAGAGGGCAGCCACAGTGGGAAAATCACTATATTCCTAAAGTTGTATTTATGAAATGCATGAAGTTAAAGTTTTCTGAAAAAAAAAAATTGAATGTGTGTATAGAGGTGTAAGTGGGGACTGTGGCTTAGGTGCTACAAGAATCCTACAAATAATAATGCACTATTTTTTTTTTACAGGCATAGTTAGACAGTGAGAGAGAGAGAGAGAGAGAGAGAGAGACAGAGAGAAAGGTCTTCCTTTTTCCTTTGTTTCACTCCGCAAGTGGCTGCTATGGCTGGTGCATTGCGGCTGGCGCACTGCGCTGATCTGAAGCCAGGAGCCAGGTGCTTCCTCCTGGTCTCCCATGCGGGTGCAGGGCCCAAGGACCTGGGCCATCCTCCACTGCACTCCTGGGACACAGCAGAGAGCTGGACTGGAAGAGGAGCAACTGGGACAGAATCTGGCGCCCTGACCGGGACTAGAACCTGGGGTGCCGGCGCCGCAGGCAGAGGATTAACCTAGTAAGCCACACCTCCAGCCCCATAATGCACTATTGCTAAGCACCAAGCTGTTACTTTGGAAGTGTTCAAAAGCTGAGAGAGAGCTTTGTAGAAAAATGGGCAATGATCTTATCTGTGGTATGTTAGGAACCTCCATTAAGATCCTAGTAATAGTGCCGACTAATCGGGAACGTGTTTCCTAAGAATAGGCGGAATATTCTCACCCAGTTTGTTCTAGGGGAAATCATGAACTTTCAAAAAGTTTTTCTTATATTCTCACTCATAATAAATATTGCGGCTAACTTGTGGGATGAGTGCTTAAGGCTGATAAGATGAAGTGCTTATTGGTTTGATGCTGCATTAGACAGAGCTAGGTCTAAATATCCAGGAATTTCCAAAACCTTTGAGTGGTATTGGCATTCACAGGTTTGGGTCATTGCTCCTTGCAAACCTGGGTTCTTCTTACAGATGGAGTTCCTGCATCCTTCGCAAGTGCCAAGTCCATGTTCAGCACAAAGGCTGTGGTGAAGATGCAGCTCTTGAAGGATGTGGTGGGAAATGACACCTATAGAATAAACAATAAGTATGATGAGATGTACTCCCCCCTCCCTGTGGATGAAGTCATGAAACGGTCAGAGTTTATTATCGGACAGGAAGTTGCTTATGATTTACTTGTCAACAACTGCGAACACTTTGTAACTTTGCTTCGCTATGGAGAAGGAATTTCTGAGCAGGTGAGTTTTCTTTAGGAGATACATAAGGCTTACTTCAGATCATGCAGCAAATTGATGATCAACAGAGACTTAAATTTGGATATTGTGAATTTTGAGCCAAAAGGATCTTGAAGTGGAATCAGTGCCATGGGGCTTTTTTTCAGTATTACTGCCTTTCACCCTTCCATTATTTTCCCACAATAAAACAATCTCAAATCAGTAACTTCATACAAGTTACTTCAAAAGTTCATGGAAAATTAAATTAAAGGAAAGAATAAGTTTATTTTGGTGTAAAAATATTATGACATATTGCATAGAAGGGGTCTTCAAAAGGCTCATGGAAAATATATCACAGGAAAAACTATGCATGCGTTTCAATATTTTTGTACCAAAATAAACTTATCTTTTAATCCATTATCCATAAACTTTTTTGAAGACCTTCGTATATTGCAAAACATGTTGACTTTTTCAAGTGGGAGTTCATTTGCCAGAAACATAAATGATTATTTTGAGACTCTTTTCCATTAGTGGACAGAAGCCAACTGATAATGTGTCTTGGTGGATTTGCAAATGCTTTCTATTTCCTTCTAATATTAATTTCAGTGAAATTTAGTACTTTTATATAGGTCCTATCATTCTTTAAACTCTCAGGTGACTTTCGATGGATTAACTGACTTAATTTTTAAAGTACCTGGTAATTTTGTCAATTACTACCATTATTAAGTAGTATAGCAAATTCCTGAATAATAGCATTCTTAATTCAGTTGCCCGTTCTCTACTTCTCAGCCCTGCCAAACAATTCCATCATTGGTATTTCAACCCAAAGTTGTATTAAAGTGGAGTGATATAAAAGGACAAATATATGAAACTATTATCAAGAGGAAGTCCTCTTCACCCAAAATACATATGGAAAGTTATTTAATAGATTTTAAACTACAGGGAGTTTTTACATATGAAAACTTAAAAAGCAAGAGTAAAACTTTGAAGAATAAGACTAGGAAAATTTTTTTAAGATTTATTTATTGATTTGAGAGGTAGAATTACAGACAATGAGAGGGAGAGACAGAGAGAGAGGTCTTCCATCTGATGGTTCACTCCCCAAATGGCCACAAGGGCCGGAGCTGCACCTATCCAAAGCCAGGAACCAGGAGCTTCTTCCCGGTCTCCCATGTGGATGCAGGGGCCCAAGTACTTGGGCCATCTTCCACTACTTTCCCAGGCCACAGCAGAGAGCTGGATGGGAAGAGGAGCAGCCGGGACTAGAACCAGTACCCATATGGGATGCCGGCACTGTACGCAGAGGATTAACCTACTGCGCCATGGCACTGGCCCCGAGACTAGGAAATTTTAATAATACTTTAAACTCAAATTTATTCTACCTCCTAGTAAATTGTAATGGTGATTCTGTTATATAAACTTCTAAGAAATGAGGATACAGTTCTTTTTATGAAGACTTGGACAAATGGAAGATAAAACATAATGAAAGGATGCATTTGTTTTCATTAGGAAATAATTTAATTGGAAATTTATGCTCATTAAGAAACACATTATCATAACAAATGATCTGTTCGTATGTAGCAATAAATTGCTTTTGAGCCAGAACACAGAGGACACATATAAATTCCTGTTCACCTCTGCATTGAAAACTAATGGTACAATCAGGAAATAGGTTTCATGCCTAGTCTTTTTTGTTAGAAATAAGGTTGTCTATTGCACTCAACAATTTTTATTTCTCTACTTATTAGAGTTTTGGAAATGGGCAACAGTTGGTCAAAAGGTGCATACTTCAGTTTTTCAAGATGACTAAGTTCTGGAGACCTGCTGTACATCACAGGTCTTATGACTGACAGTATTGTACTGCATACTTATAAACTTGCTAAGAAGGTAGATTTTTGAGTTTGGTGCTCTTGCCTCAAAAGAGGAAAAAACTATCTAACAAAACAAAACAACAAAAATCAACAAAGGACTGAATAAGCTTTTGGAGATGATGGATGACTTATGGCATTGATTGTGATAATTTCATATGTACTTACCTCCAAACACATTAAGTTGTACATATTAAATATCTGCAACTGCTTGTCAACCACGCCTCAATAAAGTCACTAAAAAACTTTCTTTTTTGAAAACCAGTTGCTAAAAGAAGGGGGGATGGATATTAGAAGCATTTTTTTTTGGTTTGACTCTGAACTTTCAATTCATATCTTTTCATGTTTCATACTCAGACTCAAGACCCTCAAAAATAGTGACTCCACAACAAACAGCAGAACTTGTCTCCAGCAAGAGCTGATGAAGGTGATGCAGCAGCAGCCTTAAGAACCTGCTGCTGGGCTGAGCTGGAACCTCATCTTCACCATTTATTAGCTGTATTCTGTAGCTAATATAGCAGTTGCTAATATAGCAGTTGCTTCATCTAACTCTAAGGTTATTTTAAAGATTAAAAGAGAGGGCCAGCGCCACAGCTCAGGCTCAATAGGCTAATCCTCCGCCTGTTCTAGTCCTGGTCGGGTCGCCGGTTCTGTCCCGGTTGCCCCTCTACCAGTCCAGCTCTCTGCTGTGGCCCAGGAAGGCAGTGGAGGATGGCCCAAGTGCTTGGACCCTGCACCCGCATGGGAGACCAGGAGGAAGCACCTGGCTCCTGGCTTCAGATCTGCGCAGTGCACCGGCCGCAGCAGCCATTGGAGGGTGAACCATCGGCAAAGGAAGACCTTTCTCTCTGTCTCTCTCTCTCACTGTCCACTCTGCCTGTCAAAAAAAAAAAAAAAAAAAAAAAAAAAAAAAAAAGATTAAAAGAGAATCAAGATCTCTTAACACACAGTGTTGCATATATCTATCCCAATAAACAGCAGGCCTAGGATGGATATTATATTATGTTATTTTAGGAATTTTATAGATCTTTGTTGGCATAAAATCTCAATCTGACAGAAACTGTGTTACCTGAATTATTATCAACAATTAACAATATCACTCCAAATTATAACTAGGATTAGATTAGGTTTTCTGGTACCCTTAATTTTACAGGACTTGAGCTTGCAAAAGTTTTCTCAGGGGGAGTGGCGGTGGGATAAAATTTATTTACATGATTAAAAATTATATATACATAGAAAGTATTGGATGGAATGATTATGGCCCCATTCTTTCTTGTGCTTTTCTGTATTTTTAAAAAAGTTATCTCTTAGTGTTGTCTTTAGGTTTACAGAAAACTTGAGCTGAAAGTACAAAGAATTTTCTCTCTCTCTCTCTCTATGCACGTATAGCCTTCTCAGTGATCAATACCTCGTATTAGCGTGGCACGTTTGTTAAAACTGATGAACAAACACTGACACATCATCATCTGCCAGAGGTCATGGTTTGTGATGTTAGGGTTCACTCTGAGTTGTGTATTCCGTGAGTTTGCACGTTTATAATGGCATATATTCAACATTGAAGTATCCTAAGAGTTTCCTTGCCCTTTGTACCAACCACTCCTCCTTCTCTCTCCCCAGGCCTCTGAGAAACACTTGCTTTTTTTGTACTGTCTCCATAGTTTTGCCTTTTTCAGAATGTCCTGTAGTTGGAATCATAAATTATATATCATTAACAGAATACGGCCTTTTCACATTGGCTTCTTTCAGTTCATAATTTGCATCTGAGGTTTCTCTCTGTACTTCCATGGCTTGACAGTCAACCTTTCATCAACATGGGATAATAGTCCCTTGTGTTGAGCTACCACCGTTTGTCTGTGTACTCATTGAAGAGCATTTTATTTGCTTCTGATTCTTGGCCATTATGAATAAAGCTGTCATAAACATTTTTGGGAACATAAATTTTCAACTCCTTTGGGTAAACTGTGTGCAAGGAGTACGATTGCTGAATCATATGGTTAGATTATGTATAATTATGTGAGAAACTGAGAAACTGTCTTCCAACGTGGCTGCCACATTTTGCATTCCCACCAGCAGTGATTCCTGTTGCTCCACATCCTCACCGGTATTTGATGTGGTCAACAGTAGGACTTTAGTTGTCCTAACAGGCATGGTAGTATCTATCTCTTAGATAGATCTCTTTGTTTTAATTTGCAGTTGCCCAACTATATATGATGTTGGCATCTTTAATGTGCCTATTTTTCATTTGCATATCATCTTTGGTGAAGTGTCTTGATATCTTTTGTCTATTTTTTAACTTTGTTGTTCATTCTTCTATTGTTTGTATATTTTGGATAATGGTACCTTAGCAGATTTATCTCTTACAAAAGTTTTCTCCCAGTCTGTGGCTTATCTTTTCTGTACTTTAATTTCTAAAAGCAGATTTTAATGGTATAGTCCAAGCAAATTATTAACTTGTGTACTTTTTCCTAAGATGGACATACTCTTGAACAGGCCTAGATGAGCCAATCCTGAGTATGCCTGACTGCTTTGATGACTATGACCAAAGCCCTAGCATCCTAGGAAGGAGTGTTTGATAAACCCTGCAGTCATCTACGACCACACGACACTGATGTCTAGACACGGCTGCTTGAGTCAGCTGCTGCTTCATGGGGCATCCTCAGAAAGAGGCCTTTATTTTGACCCATGGACCAAAAGCCCTGTAAAGAATAATGTGTGTAGAGTTGGATTTGGTGATCTTATAATCCTGAATAAGTCTTAAAGTAGAAGATGCTGTGCACACTGCTTCAGCAGAAACATCATGAAATTTTACAATCTAACAGGTCAGATCCATTGTTTGTAACTTTTAATGATTGTTCCAATTACATGGGATTTTCACATCAAAAATGAGACTTGAAATAAATGGATGTTTGAGATTTGGGAATCATGCATGCGTTGCCTGAAGTAGCTTTATTTTAATAGTATTTGCCCTGTAATCTCAAGGGATTCTGATTTGGAATGAGGCTGCCCATTCTCTGCCCAAGCCTCCTGGATTTCTGAGGTTTCTCTAACGTCGTTTGTTTCTAGAGGCTTACATCTAGCCAAGGCACACTTTCCACTGGATCCTGCAGATTTCCCAGAGCTGCAGCTTCCTGTCATTTGACACTTCTGCTTAAGGACACCAATTGCACCTCTATGTTTTCATTGACCAGCCCCAGTTCTCTGCACTGTGGAATCTCCTAGCTCTCCATGCTGGTGACTCTGTACTGCAGTGCATCTGGATTCTTTCCTGGAAAACTGATTTCTAGGCAGTGATTAATTGAAAGTTATAAATAAAAGACACAAGAAAGAATCAAATAAATAAAATTAAAAGCGTTAACAAGACTAAGAGTTGTTAGTTTTAGGGCTAGTCGTTTGCCAGGGCCATATTACCAGCACCTGGGACCTGCAGCAGAGGCAAGTCACTGTTACAGGCCTCACGCCTCAGGACTGCAGAGTGGTGGAGTGTAGGAGATACCTGCTGCAAGTACACAGAGCACTGAATACTCCGGATGCGTACCTTTTCCTGGCCCTGACCCTGGCCCTGGCCTTACCTGCCTGTTCCCCATAGGGAACCTGCTGATAGGGAGGTGGCGTTTGCTGCATTAATGTGTGGGTAGCAGGCTCACTGGGGGCAAAAGATGAGCTGGGTCCAGCCTCCCAGCTCCTGGCCTGATGCCCAGAATCATTTGGGGAAAATCTTTTACTTTACTTGGAAGCTATGATTCTTAAGCCCCACAGCATAAATGTTGTTTTCTTAATGTCTAATGATTCCGAAGTATCTGAACGTGGCCTCTGGGTCATAAAACTGCACTCAGACCCATGTGGATGGAAGTCAGTATTAGCTGAGTGCCATGAAACCATGAATATTCATGAGATCCTCTCATCAGGATGATGATTAATACCCTTAAAGCTATAAATGTCTGCACTCGTTTATGGACAATTGAGCTTGAGAGTAGTTGATTTTATTTTGTCTACATGAGAGATTAATTTTTGACATAATAGTTAACAGCAGTATTGACTTTTCTTAAAGTTTGTTTGTCAGCATAGAAATTATATCTAGCAAACAAGAGCTGACGAGTGTTTAGCTCGGGTCACACCCCAGAATTATCTCACTAACAGATATTGTTCAGACACACACGCACACACACAGAGTCACATACACACTACTCACCCTGGTATATACCCAACCAAAGTGTATGTTTAGGATGTAGGAGCTATGCAGTGGGAGAAAATGGATTGCAGAAGACTCAACCTATCTCTAAACATCTTGGTAGTATGACCTCTGGCAAATCTCTTATACTTCCCTAATTTTTGCAAAACAGGTATGGTACTGCCTCTCTTACCCATGTATCTTGATAATTAATGGGAGCCATATTCCTAGTGAGTAAATAAACTGTCAGATGCTTTAAGAGTATGATGAATATATAGCTTTGTGTACTATCTGGTATAATTATAAATTGATATCTTCATCTGTGTATTGAATTTTAATCTCGCATGGAACTTTAATTCATCCATTGTGCATTCAAATAGGTCTTCTGTTTAGGAAACAAGTTGAAGCTTCATTGAGGACACTGAGATGTCTTTAGAGTAAGATGTGTTTGTTTCTTGTTTCCTTACAGGCCAACCGAGCAATAAGTACCATTGGGTTTGTGACAGCTGCTGTTGGTGCCTTCTCCCTCCTGGGCTTGTTTTCAAAACGACAAAGACAAAAGTACTATTAACAATTGACTGAAGAGATATTGGAACCGAAGGAATTTATAAGAAAGAAAAAAAAAGACCCAGGGTGAATACTTATTTTCAATGCATCATTATTGTCCCAAATTCCAATGATGGATGGCAGGCTCTTTAATAAATCTCTTACTGACACTATCTTATCTTTGAGTCAAGGACATTTTTCCCCTACTAGCATAGATTCGCTATGGCAGCTGAACAAGAAGCAGTAGTCTTTTGAGTGAGCAGCAAAAGATCTTAACACAATCACATCACATTTAATCTTCTACTGTAAATACTGTTTTCCTTCTCCCCGAGGGTGGCTACTTTGCCAGAGGGAGGGAGAACTGTTTATGTGTGGTTTTGAAAGCAATGTTAAGAGCCCTGAATTGTTAGGATTGACATCTAAATTCATATCCCTCTCTTTCTGTTGGAAAAGAAACTGGAAAATTCAGCGTTTTGTGAGGCAGTTTGAGGAATTCCGTTTTACATGCCCTTCAAGGGTGCAGCCCTGTCTCTCTGCACCTGTGGAGATGTGCGTAGGTGAGAAGTGGAGAGGCTATGTTGCAGCTTCAGATCCGAATCTGAAACTTACCTGGACACTACTTGCTTGTCAGGAGTATGGGAAAAGCAGGAGTAGGCTGTTATTTCTATAGAATCAAAATCTATAGAAAGAGAACTCTTATTCTTCTCTTTGGATTTTAAAGCATTTGCATCAGTTCTGACTCAAAATCGATGTTAATAACATTTCATAGGTTTGACCTTTTAACCTTGCAAAAAGATCATTAAATGTTGGCTCAGAGTCTGGCATCTAGGAAACAATATCCTATATTTAAAAAAGTTGACCACAAATCAGAAGCATCAGGATTTTATTTGTGCTTCTTTATTATGTGTTGAATTAAGCAAACACCTTCTTAATACTATTACAGTAGAAGTTTTGTAGGTGAGGAAGATTGGACTGCAGGTCTCAAAAGCATAGGATTACATCAAACATTATAACATGACTCCACAAACCACAGTACCAACCAATGGCATCTCTTTTGTAACATCATCAAAGCTGGGCATAAAATAAAAGGACCAGTAAATACTTACTGGGGAGGGTACAACGAAAGAACTAGAAATATGGTAGATAAAGTAGCTAAACAGAAGACTCAATAAAATTCTTGGGTCTATTAACTGGGTTTAGAGTTTATCCCAGGGCCAGAAATAGTCTAAAAGCAAACTGCAGAGCTAAGAATGTGAGTGTATTAGTCCCTCGGTACATATGGAATTGGTTTCAGTACCTCCTAAGGATTCTGCAAGCTGCATGTGTTCAAGTCCCTTATATAAAATGGCCTGGAATTTGCATGTAAACTACACACATCCCCCCATATAGTTTAAATCACTTTTAGATTACTTACGATCCCTCATGCAATGTAAATACCACGAAGTAGTCATTATAGTGTATTGTTTAGGAAATAAAGGCAAGGAAAAAAAATTGTTCTCATTCTGTTACACACAGACAATTTACCCCCCAACATTGTGATGTGTAGCTGGGTGAATCCACTGAGGAGGACCCTGCAGGTGCACAGGGCTGGCTGGCAGACAGTAGGTGGAGCTGTGCGCTGGGGGCAGGGCCAGCGGAGAGCCCCTCACCTGCCGCCACCCCCCCCCCCATCAACACTGCCCCATTCTTAGGGCATCAACTCTCTATCCAGATAGTCCCTACGCTCAAAGTTGCTCCGCTCACCTTTCGGGAGGTGTGAGCGACTTTACCAGGGACCAAGATCCAAACACTACCCCTTTATATTTATTCCAAATCTGGATCTTTCTGCCTCTCCTGCTTTGCTTCCAAGTAATAGAAAAAAATGAGCCATTCTCTGAGTTGTCTAAGCGAAATGAGACTGGCAGCAGCATAATATGTTCTTTTCTCTCGAAGTGTGCTGAATTTTCAAAAAAGAAGAACTAAAGAGTGGAATGTGGGAGTGGCAGAATCACAATGCTGGCCAGTGGGAGAGGACTGGAATGAGGGGCCTGAATTCAGTCCTTTCTGGAGAACTCAGGGTGTTCTTGACCCTGAAGACAGCCCTGGCTTTGCTGGATGATGTCACAAATTCACCACGAAATCAAATTCCTGGGTTCACTGGCACAGCACTTGTGCTGGAGGCCACAGCAGTTCTCGGGATGTCCGGCCACTGTGGCCACTCTGCAGCCGGGCAGCCTGTGTGTGTCATACTCATTGGGCTTTTCTCAGATTTGTTTTCCCCCAGAATTTTTAACGTTTCTCTGGACAGATTTTTAGCAATCAGGCATGGAGTTCAACATGATCTTATTAAAAAAAAGAAATAAAGATCATCACCTACCGCATACCTGAGAGATTGTTAGCGAAACTGGAGGAGAAAAGGTTGTACATTTATTGAAGATTTTTTTTTTTTGACAGGCAGAGTGGACAGTGAGAGAGAGAGAGACAGAGAGAAAAGTCTTCCTTTGCTGTTGGTTCACCCTCCAATGGCCGCTGCAGCCAGCGCGCTGTGGCTGGCGCACTGTGCTGATCCGAAGCCAGGAGCCAGGTACTTATCCTGGTCTCCCATGGGGTGCAGGGCCCAAGGACTTGGGCCATCCTCCACTGCACTCCCGGGCCACAGCAGAGAGCTGGCCTGGAAGAGGGGCAACCGGGACAGAATCCGGAACTAGAACCCGGTGTGCCGGCGCCGCAAGGCAGATTAGCCTATAGAGCCGCGGCGCCGGCCTATCGAAGATTTTTTTTTTAAAAATTGTTTTATGCTATCTAAATACCATAGAGTATCCATTGAACCTTTTCATTCTAAAAGCCAAATTACTAAATACAGTAATGTCAGCTCAAGGAACCCGAGCTACCATATGTTTTCAGTTGACATATATTTCTTAATCATAAGCTGAAAATCTCACCTTATTTTTATCTTTAACATAGCTACTATGTTGGAAATCATCACTCAAAGACATGTGAACACAAGAAAAATGTAAACACAGAGTGTTTGTTTTTATAAGAATTTATATTTGTACTGTTGGCTTGTATAACAGTCTAAAATGCAATTTATAACTACATATTGCTAAAATGTTAAAAATGTTGTCAATCCTAAAGACCAGAATTTTAAACTCAAGACCATCCTATATTGAAACCATATATTGCAGGCTTAGACACATAATTGGCACCCAGGGAAAGTGACTGGTTAAGTAATTGTCTTTGATCTGTTAAAGATTTGGTAAATTAGCAAAATTAGATTTATTATTACAAGGAAAGCCTAGGAGACAATTTTAAATATTCACAAGGAATAAATTTCCTCTCACAGTGAGTATGACATAGGCATTAAAGGTAAATGTGTGCAGAATGTCTTTGTAAATGCTATACCCATTTAAAATATATCTAATATTTAAAATATATCTAATACAATGGCTTGGATAATTAAAAGATCAAATAGAACTTCAGATTGCTTAGGAACCTGTGAATTGTCATGTAATGGATACTCACATAACAAGTACTTTCCTTAGTGAGCTTACTCTAATAGTCAAAGGTGAACAGTCTGAAGTTGATGTTAATTCCCATTTCTCCCTTAAAAGCTTATAAAAGAAGCAAAAAAGGGAGCTTTGTGACATTAGGTAAGTTGGGTACATAGATATCCTTCACACATCAATACAGAATGTAAGTAAGCTTGGGCCAACCTATTGGTAAAAGTTTCAAAGATCAGACATTTCACCTATTTTCTTTTCTTCTGCTGATATTCATACTATTAATTTCACTACCTTGAAATCTGTGCAGTTTAGATAGGATAATGCTATTCAATATGAATCAAGTTTATTAAAAATGATAATTTGAGAAATGCATTTTTCTCTCTTTCAATGGCAAATGATGCAATCAAAATAAGTATATTGAGGGTCCTTTCTTGTAAGGCTGAATACATTGAAAAATGTACTTTAAATGCCCCAGTGGAGAAAGAAGAGAAATCACCAGCTGTGCACAATGTCTTAGATTTGGTGAAAAGAATTGATCCTGTTAAACATGTACGATGATAATTCTGATTACAATCTAGTCCAAAAGTGCTGCTCTGTGGTTGGGTCTCCCAAGCCGAGTTGTTTTTTTGGAACCTGTTCAGGGCTTGCATAGCCTCTGTTGATGTAGAATCCATTTTTGCCATCGCCTGAATAATCTGTCCTGTTTGTGGGAGGCCAGGTAGAGTCTTCTGCCAGCTTTTTTTGCCAGGCTCTGTACTGACTTTTAGAGTGGAACCCAAATTCTTTCTTGATCAACAGCCAGAGCTCACGGTTTTGAAGAATAGCATCCTGCAAGATCAGTTGAGAAAAGCAATCAAAGCATCAGGCACGTCCCCCTGTGGGCAGGCCACCCCCTCTGCACCCTGCCTCCCCAAGCCTTGTGCTGGGACATGGTCTTTGCAGCCATCTTCTTCACTTCCTTGAAGTCTCTTCCTTCTTTCCCTTAAGAAGCAAAGGGGCACTGAGTTCGTGGAAATCTGCTGAAAGCTTACAGCCTTTTATTTCCACAGACTTCCAGCTAACTCCTGCCTTAATCATTCACTAGGAATTATTTCACTGCCTGACCAAAATTATAGCAATAATAAAATACCTAAAATTGAGAAGAAAACAAAAAGTGATTAGTTCTGCTACTTGCCGCCTGTTACATAGAAGGTGTCAACTAAAGGTTTGTTGAGGGGCCGGCGCTGTGGCACAGTGGGTTAACGCCCTGGCCTGAAGCGCCAGCATTCCGTATGGGTGCCAGTTTGAGACCTGGATGCTCCACTTCCTGTCCAGCTCTCTGCTATGGCCTGGGAAAGCAGTAGAGGATGGCCCAAGTCCTTAGGCCCCTGCACCTGCGTGGGAGACTGGTCTGGCTCCCGACTTCGGATCGGCAAAGCTCTGGCCGTTGCGGCCATCTTGGGAGTGAACCAGCGGATGGAAGACCTCTCTCTCTCTGCCTCTCCTCTCTCTGTGTAACTCTGACTTTCAAATAAATACACAAATAAATCTTAAAAAAAAAATTTTGTTGAATGACTGGATGAACCCTAGCAACCAAGTGGTTTTCATTTGAAGTTTTCTGAGTTCTCTTTCCTTTGGCCACATGTTGAGTCCAGTTCCTGCACATTAACAATACTAGCATTTTGCATTTGGCTTTGTTTACACTAGACTTTCTGTCAGTGACAATTTTTGTATAATGATAGCCTTTCTAAAATATTTTATTTTCTGGTGGTGAGAACACTGCTGTGGTTTTTTTGATCATCAGTATCACTGTAGAGTGTTTCTTCTAAATACAAAGATCTGTAGAAAAGTTAGTCATATTTAGCCAGTGTAGTTAATTCTATAACGAAAATCTTCATGTGTGTTTTCTTTCTCCTTTTAGGTTATTTTTAAAAATGTACTCTCAAAAATGGAATTTCTGATTTAAAGAGTAAAGGAAGTTTAGCACTTACTTATATGTGATTTTTTAAAAACTTTATAGCTTATTTTTTGAGATAATATAAATTTAATTTAAGTGAAAGGCTTAATGACTACTAAAGAGTTCAACAAATAAAAAGACCATAGTGCGAATGGAAAATAAGCAAAGATTATAAACAATAATCAAATGATAAGACATTCAACTTCACTCATATAAGGTAAATTTTAAAATAGTCCCCTAATCATTAATACTATTATAGTATATTAGATATTTTTATACATGCAAATATATGTATATACATGTATACAACGTATTTTTAAAAATGTGGTTGGTCCCTTTTTCCAAGGGACTTACTTCTATTATATGAATCTTTTTTTTTTTTTCAGCTATCCCTTTTAAAAACAGCAACTGGGAGTTTTCCTAGGTGTGTGGTGTGAAGTCCTGTGGTGATACTGAGCAGATGAGAAATGCTCCAGGGGAAGACCTTAAAGGGCAGAAATTGATGAGAATGAGCAGTGGCTTCCCTTCTCTCTTAATTAGGGAAGCCCTCCCAAAGGCAGTTTTTCATTCCAAAAGGTGTCATTGAATTTTAGAGTTGGAGATCACCTGGTCTCACCTCCCCTAGATTACTTAGAATATTAGAAAAGTACAACACAAAGTTTTCATGTGATGCAAGATTAGAGTTTAATTTCTCATTTTGTATTTATGCAGAAGATACAAGTAGCATTCTATTCAAGTTTCAAAGAATTGTAAATCATTCTCCAAAAAATACCAACCAAAGGGAACACGTGCACTTTTTATAAACCCTGTCTATCATTTGAGGGACCAAAGTGATTGCTCTAAAAACAAAATGAGCACTGTTGAGTATGCAAAGCTTTCTTTATCTTCCCAGAACAATTATCAGAATCGTACAGAAATTGCTTTACCTCTACAAAGAAGGCCACACAGAATTGGGTAAGGGCTGCCACCAAAATCAAAACCCTCCAAGAAGTTATGGTCGGAATGAACTGTTGAGAAGCAAGACCCGCATTATACTTTATTATCTGCTTTGATAAAAACATACAAAGCAAAATATACTTGGAATTCATTTTCTTTTCAATAAAACTGATAGATAGATATAATCTCCCAGGGAACAGAGGTGCAAGTGATTGAGATTAGGTTCATTATTTTTTTTTAACAAATGTACTTAAGCTCCAACTCTTAAGACTTTCTGAAAATCTCACCCACTCACCCTACTGCCTTTTAGAGGTTGAGGGCCACTAGTTGACCACAAATACACTCACTTAATAAGTATGAGAACCACAATTTCACATGACTGCATCCGTAGCAAAAGGGTGGTCACAGAGCCCTTTTTCTGACCTTGCAGAATAGAATTTGGCTGGACAGTGAGGTGTGGGACTGAGCTCCTATAAGGACCAAAACCATAGGCCCTCCGCAGGGTCTAAGGCCCCCTCTAAATTCCCATCCATGTCTTGATATGGGTTGTTTCCAAGTTTGCCTCCCAAGGGGGAGGCTGCCTTTATCAGGGTTGTGCAATATAACTCATTGGATAGAGGTGGTGTTGGGAGAAGTGGGGTCGGGTCCTAGAGGAGGGCTTGCACTTCACCCTGTTCTGGGAGGGCTCTTCTCCAGCTCTTGGCCTGGAAGGCACCTGACTTGGAATTGCTCACTTATGTGCTGCTTCCCTCTCGGTCTCTGATCTGCTTGAGAGCAGTGGCTGCGTCTTACTCATCTTTGTAATCTTAGTGCCAAGCACACTCTGGAGCTCCATAATATTCAGCAAAGGAATGGATGGTTTGGATTTTATTTACCAAGAGCTTCTCTCTCCATGTCCTTGTGCTCCCTCAGACAGTTTTCCTGCCATCACTTAATCAGTCTCAAATATCTTGCAGATAAACCCTCAGTAATTCCCTGTTGCTCTTGCCATCATATGTTACTGGCTGCCTTGTTCCATCCATGCTTTCCTTTGGTCTGCATCCTTGCCCCTCATTCCCTCATAGTCCACAGGACACTGCTTCAGTTTTTGCCCATCTTCTGGACCCCCCTGCTTTTGCTCTTTATCTCCAATATCCTATGTATTTTTTTTGCATTTGCAAGACAAGAGCAGTGCTTTCAACCCTCTCAGCACTCAGGCAGTCCTCCCACTTTGGAAATCCTTGTCGCTTCCTTAGCAACATGTGGTCTATCTGTCTGGTTCCAGATCAAGTTGCATCTCTTCTCTGAAGCCGTCCATGACAGCCACAACCCACAGTGAGAAGTCCTCCTTCCTGTGTCCTTCCCAATTACACCTGTACACACTCTATTAAGCATGAATGCCTCAGGTGGCCACGTCATCGATACTGAAGTGGGGACGCATCTTCACAGCAAAACGATAGCTGGCAGGTCAGGAGCCAATCTTCCGTTTTTCTTTATTTGCTTCACAACATTGAGTCCAGGAAAGAGTCTGATAAACTCTTTGTGAATTTACTGTTAACTCAGTATACCCTGGATCAAATGGCGTCCACTAATGTAAAGCTCCATACATCCGGGGCTGGCGCTGTGGAGTAGCAGGTTAAGCCTTCGCCTGAAATGCAGATATCCCATATGGATATTGGTTTGAAACCTGGCTGCTCCACTTCTGATTCAGCTCCCTGCTAATGTACCTTGGAAAACAGAAGATGGCCCAAGTGCTTGGGCCCCTGCACCTGTGTGGGAGACCCAGAAGAAGCTATTGACTCTGGCCGTTGTGGCCATTTGGGGAGTGAACCAACAGATGGTAGACCTCTCTCTCTCTCTCTCTCTTTCTCTCTCTCTCTCTCTCTCTCTCCCCCTCTGCTTCTGCCTCTTGGTAACTCTGCCTTTCAAATAAATATTTCTCTAAAAAAAAACCTCTATACACTCAATGTCTGATAGAACATAATTGGCCTAAAAATCTACATTTTCTCTCCCTTCACAACTATGTTATAAAGGATTCCTACTGTATGTTAAAAATAAATAAACTAGGATAATTAGAGTTATTATATCAGTGCATTAGTTTTATTGGATTTGTAAAATACAGTGGAATAAAAATATCCAAACATAACACTTCAGGTGTGAAAGAGATAAATAGACACAATTGATAACACTAATACTTGTAATACAAAAATATATGTGAGATACCTAATGTTATTTGCTTTTCTAATAAGGAGAAATAGCCTCACAATATTTAATATCCAGAGAGAATATGGTAATAATTGGCTAGCAAATTGCAATGCAAATATGGTCCAGGGAGCATATGAATCATGCCACATGTACAAATAAGTAGCACTTACTTCCATTCCATGGTATATATCTTGAAAATTGGAAAACATGATGAAGATTGTGAGGCCCAATGCAGATATCAGCAGAAATGAAAATATATCTGAAGAAATACCAAACATTTTTAGATGTTAAAAGAATGTTTCATATAATTTGACACACACTGCAGAACCAATTATCTCTGTTGTACAAATACCAGATATATTTTCAGATGTTTGGATATATCCTCATGTGTTTTAAAATATGTTCTAATGCTTATAAGATAAAGATAATATCTTAAAATATTTCCTGTTATCTGTGTGTAGAAGACTGTTCATCAACTACAGTAACTACCTTAAAGGAGTTATCTGAGGATTCCTGGGGCCGGGGACATGCTTCAGTGACCTGCTCATCTAAGCAGTCCTCAGAGAGGTCCTGGTACATCATCACCACATGGCTGGGGAGCCATGTGTATGTGGGGGTTGGAGAGTCAGCTCTCCTGGGGGCGGCTCTCTTCTCTATGAAGTCCAAGGATCTTCAGGTGACCTTCAAGGCCTTTCACAATCTGGCCCCAGTCAGCCGTGTTACACAGATCTCTGCCTTATGTGGAATTGACAAGTTAAACCTCCATGCCTGCGCCTTCCACCGAGGCCTGACACCTCCCAACTGCTATTCTTGTATTCACAAAATGCCTATGTAGATGCTGCTCTTCCTGTCAAATCATACCGCAGACTTTCTCAACATCAAGAGCCCAGTCCAAGTCTCATTTTCTTTTCAAAAACCCTTTCATCACCCCTTAGGAGCTTAAATTTCACATGGTTTGTGGGATTACTTAAGAAAGGTCATCGATGGAGTGGCCGCTGTGGTGCAGTAGGTTAATCTTCCGCCTGTGACGCCAGCATCCCATATGGGCACTAGTTCTAGTCCGAGATGCTCCTCTTCCAATCCAGCTCTCTGCTGTGGCCTGGGAAAGCAGTGGAGGATGGCCCAAGTGCTTGGGCCCCTGCATCAACGTGGGAGACAGGGAAGAAGCTCCTGTCTCCTAGCTTCGGATCAGCACAGCTCCGGCCGTTGCGGCCATTTGGGGAGTAAACCAGCAGAAGGAAGACCTTTCTTTCTGTCTCTCTCAATGTCTGTAACTCTACCTCTCAAATAAATAAATAAAATCTTTAAAAAACACAGAAAGAAAGCTCATGGGAAAAATGGAATTAAAATATGTTTATTTTGCAAAACTATTTTGAAGTTCTTGCGTAGTTTCTTTATGATATGTATTTTCTTTGAACTTTTTAAAGATGCCTCTGCTTTGTATGGTCTCAATGTGTCTATCTGGGTCCAGCGTTGTGGTATAGCAGATTAAGCTTAAGCAAGTTGAACAGGTTGAGATAGAGATAGTGATAGAGATAGAGACATGGATGATGGAGATAGATAGAGAGACAGAGAGCAAGAGAGAGAGAGAGAGAGAGAGAGCACTCCATCTACTGCTCCATTCCCCAGATGCCTGCAATAGGCAGGACTCAACCCAGGTTTCCCATGTGGTTGGCAGGAAGCCAATTACTTTAATTCCATAAATTTGTCATTTCTTCTAGAGTATAAAATTTGTTGGACACATATACCTTGTTAAGATTAAATCGTGATAGGGCTGGGTTGTGGCGCTTTAGGTTATGCAGCCACTTAACTATGTCAACATCCTAGAGTCCTGCCTCCTCCTCCACTTCAGATCTGTCTCCCTACTAATGTTCTTGGGAAAGCAGCAGGAGATGGCCCGAGTGCTTGGACCCCTGTCACCAATGTGGACCTAGATAAGGTTCAAGACTCTTGGCTTTTGTCAAGCATGGATCAGGCCATTGCTGTCATTTGGAGATTGAACCAGCAGATGAAAGATGTCTCTCCCTCTCTCCCTCACTCCCTCTCTCCCTCTCTCCCTCTCTCTCCTCTGCCTCTGTAATTCTGCCTTTCACCTAAATAAATGAATTTTTTTAAAAAAAAGATTAAACCATGAAGAAATAGAATACTTAAACACACCAAAAATGAGTAACAGTATTAACCAGGAATAAAAAGTCTCCCATCAAAGAAAAGCCTAGGAACAGCTGGTTTCACTGATGAATTCTAACAAACATTTAAAGAATGTCTTCTTAAATAATTCCAAAAAAATGCAAGAGGAGAGAATTCTTCCCAATTCATTCTTTTTTAAAAAAATATTTATTTATTTGAAAGGCAGAATTATGGAGAGGTATAGGCAGAAAGAGAGAGAGAGAAAGAGAGAGATAGGTCGGTCTTCCATCTGCTAGTTCATTCGAAAAATGGCCAAAACAGCCAGAGCTGAGCCAATCTGAAGCCAGGAGCCAGGAGTTTTTTCTGGGTCTCCCATGTGGGTGCAGGGGCCCAAGGACTTGTTCTACTGCTTTCCCAGGCCATAGCAGAGAGCTAGATCAGAAGTGGAGCAGCTGGGACTTGAACCAGCGCCCATAGGAGTTGCCTGCTCAGCAGATGGTGGCTTTACCAGATACGCCACAGCTCCAGCCCCCCGAATCATTCTATGAAACTAGTATTACCCTAATACCAGACAAGAACACATACACAAAGGAAAGTTACAGACTAGTGTCCTTGATGAACTTAGATGCAAGAATCTCAACAAAATACTAGCAAACCAAATGCAATAACATTAAAAATATCACCACGATCAAATGATCATGGGACACAAAGTCAGTTCAGCATATGCAAGTCAGTAAATGTGATTCACAGGAGGATAGAGGATTTCTCTGTCTCTGTCTCTGCCTTTCAAATAAATAAATCAATGCTCCTGATTAATAGGTATTTTCTTTGCATGATACAGCATACTTTGCACCAATACTCAATATCATATTTTTGAGTAAAATATATCAGAAATACTGTTATTAAGGAATAGAGCACTTTGTGCCACCACATTATCATTTAACTTTGTCCTAGAAACTGAATTATACGCTAAAATAGAAAATATGAAAAAGCATTTTAGCTATGACAAAGGAAAAGCATTATTACTTGCAGATGATAACAGTTATCTTTCTAAAACACTCAAGACTCAAGGGCTAATCACAAAGTTCAGAAAGGGTTCAGAATAGGGAATAAATGTAAAAATGTTCATGTATTATTGATAACTAATTAGAAAAAATAATAGGAAAAAGTAATTTGCAATAGAAGCAAAAATTATAAAATACATAGGATTAATTTCTTAAATATTTGTGAAGGTTCCATAATGGAGAAAACTGCAAATATTTACTAGGAGGCAAAAAAGAAGCATGACATGCTTCTAAAGGCAGACTATAAAATCTTCCCCAAATATCAAAGCCCCAAAGGAGAGTTTTTAAAATTCAACTTATTCTGAAAAAAAAAAAAAAAGTGAGAAAATTTGAAAAATGAAGAGTAATGAGGATGCAATACTCTTGTCACTTATTAAATGAAATTTATTTAAAAGCTATAATTTTAAAATTATAATGATAGCTCATAAGTGGGCTGGTATATCAATGAAACATAAAAATAATCAGGAATCAAATAAATATATAACGTGTATACACATAACATATAAACTTATAATAAATGATAAAAATGATGTATGTAAGAAAATAATAAAAATGTGAATATAAGTATGATAAATTTTGCAGTATGTTCACTTGGGGAATGAATGAATGAAAGCAATATTAAAAATAAAAAAATGGGAAAGCTGGTTGACTAGATGTATATCCCTTACCACAAAATTACATTAGATTTTAAAAGATTTAAAAGAAACTTAAATAGTAAGTAATATTATATATTTATATATATAAGTATTATATATATACAAGTATTATATATATATAAATATATATTATTATATATATATTATATATTATATATAAATATATATTATATATATTATATATTATATATAAATATACATATTTATATATAATACTTGTATATATGAATATATATTATTTTATATATTTATAGTATATAATATATTTATATGTGTGTTTATATATTTATATATAATATATAATGTATATATAATATATATATAAAGGCAATGAGAAATAATATATAATATATATATAAAGGCAATGAGAAAGAATCAAAAAGGAATAAATCACTCACACAAATAAATACATAAAAATAGTAATCCATTAGAAATATTAGATTTATAAGTGTAAATAGACAATTCACAGAAGAAATGGCAAAGAATATGAAAATATGTTTACCCTCCCTGGTGGTCAGAGAAATGTAAATTTAAACCAAATGAGGTACTATTTTTAAAAGATCTCACTAGATGCAATATTTTTACTTTTTTTTTTGCTTGATACCCCACGTAGGATATGCTGTTATGAAGTAAACCCTCTCCAAACAACTGATAGTAATAAAAGGCTGCATAAACCTTCTAGAAAATAATTGAAATTGTGTATCCAAAGCTTCAGTATTTTTTTTTCTGATTCTTTGCCTAACGGTGTTGACTGTAGTGTTATGGAGGTTTTGTGTTGTTTTGTTTTTTGTTTAGGTTTTGTCTTTACCCTACTTAAAGAACATAATGTGGAAGTAAATAAGAAGTTTTGAGCATCTGTTTTAAGTACTAGGCCTTTTCTGTACATTGTGCTAGGCCTTTTATATAAATTGTTTCAATTAGTTCTCCCCACAGCACTGGGAGGTATGCAGCACTCCCAGAGACAGAAAAAAATATATGGAAAAAAATAACATTTATATACTCACAGTTTGTATAGATGGGTTTTCGAAACGGCTTTCCCTTTGAAAAGATGAAAGCTACAGTGATGCAGTTGAGCGTGGTGATGGGCCACAATGTGGTACTCTCAAAACTCAGAATGGAGCCGGGAGTCAGGGTTGCATTTCCAGGCCAGTTTCTTTCCGAACTCCCATTTATTGAGAAATTACTTTGGTTAGCCAGAAAGCACTCACTACAAAAGAATCACCAGTATTTAGGAGACGAATTACTCCCAAAGGACTTCAGCTTTCAACCCATCTGAGTCAATAACGAACAAGACACATTTTGGCCACTGTTGCAATGACAAAGCAGAAATAAAATTCAAAGTTCAAATTGTTCTTTGCCTAGCCGTTGGTCCATTTAGAGCAAGCAATCTGTCCTGACAGGGTTTGGGTGACAATTTCTCTAGAATTCCTTTCGATGTGAAATATGGAGGCACCATGTGAAATGAATGCACGTGTCTGTGTGGTTTTCCCTGCCCGGGGTTAATGTACCTTCCACACTTGTATTCCGAGTTTGAATCTCCCCATTTCAATCTGCTATCCTCATACAGCCAAAGAATCTCCCTAAACATCTGCCCACGACACTCCTTTTTATGGGGTGTTCATGACCTCACTTCACTGATAAATGAAGCGCAAGGTTTTCAGACTGGCCTACAACACCTTCGCTTTCTAGTCTTAGCTTACCTCTCTGGCCTTAGCTTTCACCAGTCCACCCATGCTCCCTATGCTGATAACATACAGGATTACACCCTGTCACCCAAATGCCACAGCTTGAACACTTGCTGCTTTGGACATGGTATTCCCTGTGTCTGAGATAATATTCACTCTTCACTTATCATTGTATCTGAAATATCTGTACTTTCACTGGGAAATGAAACTGGTACACCATTGTTCCCTCTTGTGCAGCATTTAGCTCACTGTTCTTGCAATTATTTATTGATGCTTTTTTTTTGGTTTTGTTTTTTTGTTTTACTCAAATTTACAACACATCATTGACATCTAGCATAGTGAGGTCATATAACATTTTCTCAGAAAAGTAGTTGTTTAATATCTTAGCTTTTCCAATTCCACGTTTTTCTCATTTCTTTTTCAATAATCAAACCCACCAATTAGTTTCCATCAGCTTTCTTGTTCAGCATGGAACTTTTAAATAACTGATAACTGTTTGAATTCATTAATTCTTATTATCTTGAGCTTCCTGATTGCAAGATAAGTGCTTTCCATATAGTATATGTGCAGTCAATGTTTGCTGAATGAGGCAATCAGTTTATCGCAAAGCCTTATCACACAAAGAGGGATGAACAGACTAAACAGTTTGAATTACAGAGTTTAAATTGCAAAGTATGTAGGCCAGGACAATTCTATTACAGGAAAGACAGTCGAGACCTAAGATAGAGCAGCTAGTTAGTGACACAGGCAAGCTACACAGAGCCCCTCATTTCCTGTCCACTTCTTTCTGGCTACACCATGCTGTCCTCTAGATTCATAGTGTACAGTATATGCACTCCAATTTTTGGGGAAAAATCTAGTTTTGAAATTAAATTGGGCAGGGCAAGATGGCGGAATAGGGAGGGAGCACATTGATAGTCCGGGAAAAGATAGTTCAATAAAAGTTGAGATTCTGTAGTTTCGGGGAAAAGTTAGTGAATAAATACTGCAGAGGAAACTCTTCCAGAACTAGTGAGACAAGGTGGACCTGTGAAGAGGGTGCGGACATCCACAGTGCCTGCACCAGCCAATGAGTCTACACACCAGTGCTGGAAGCCGAGGTGAGACAGGGCGCAAGCCCAGCTCCGCTGCAACAGCCGGCGCCGCCCCTCCCCCAACCCACTCTGGGACAGACACTGAGACACGCAAGACTGAGTAGGGGTGGAAATAGAAAATGGAACAGAGTGTGTAGTGCCTGTGGAAAGAGTACGCGATTCAGGGGGACTAATTGAGGGTCTAAACAAGCGAGGATCCTTTGCTGCCTCCCCCTTTTCCCAAATCAGAGCTGCAGTGGGCGGGAAGCAGCCATTTTGTTTGTTTACATTCGGGCTTAAAGGAGAACTGCCTTTGCCTCCCCACTAACCTTCAGAGGCGGAGCCCAAAGGTGGAGTGGAGCGACACTACATTCCTCGCGCAGGGGCGGACAGCAAGGGAGGGCAGCTCAAAGCCCTGACACCAGTCTACTCAAGTTACTAGAAAAAAAAAAAAAAAAAAAAAAAACTACCCAGACGGAATGCCAAAAAACAAAACAAGAACCCACAATAAGAATATGGAAGAACATATAAACTCACCAATGGAGCAGGCTAAACCAACCATAACAGAAGCTGAAGAAGAAGAATAATTTGAAGCCATGCCAGAAAAAGAATTCCGAAAATTAATAATCAGATTACTTAGAAATAATGAGAAACAGTGTCGAGAGCTGAACGAAAAACAAGCCCAAGGATTAGAGATCCTAAAGAGAAACCAGAACGAAATACTGGAAATGAAAAACTCAATTGACCACATAAAAAACACCGTGGAATCCCTTGGAAATCGAACAGATGAAATAGAAGACCGAATATCAGAATTCGAAGACAAACTTCCAGAAATAATACAGTCAGTTCAAACACAGGAAGAAGAAATTTAAAAATTAAAAAATATGGTCGGAGACCTACAAGATTCAATCAAACAGTGTAATGTTCGGATAATAGGAGTCCCTGAGGGGGTGGAAAGAGAGATTGGATTGGAAGGTGTTCTCAATGAAATAATATCAGAAAACTTTAAACAAAGGCAGCTGGATAACAACAGACAAATGCAACAGATAGCCAGGACTCCGAACAGAGTAGACCAGAAGAGAAATTCACCACGACACACTGTGGCAACGCTGAGCTCAGTGACACACAAAGAACAAATCCTAAAATGTTCCAGAGAAAAACGACAAATCACATTCAGGGGTAAGTTAATCAGACACACCCCAGACTTCTCATTGAAAATACTACAGGTAAGGAGAGAATGGCATGATATATTTCAAGTATTAAAAGACAAACAATGCCAACCTAGAATACTATACCCTGCAAAGCTATCATTTATGAATGAAGGGGAAATAAAGATCTTCCAAGACAAACAGAAACTGAAAGAATTTGTATCCACAAGTCCAACACTACAACACTTGCTCAAAGACGTGCTGCACATAGAAATACAAAAACAAGAACTTCACTACAAAAAAAAAAAAAAAGCGAATGTAGCCAGTTAGATTGGCTTACATACAGAAATCAACCAACAACAGATGCTGGCGAGGCTGTGGGGAAAAAGGGACACTGATCCACTGTTGGTGGGAATACAAACTGGTAAAGCCACTATGGAAGACAGTTTGGAGAGTCCTCAGAAACCTGAATATAGCATTACCACAGGACCCAGCCACCCCACTCCTTGGAATATACCCAAGTGAAATTAAAGGGGAGAAAAAAAGAGCCATTTGCACCTCAATATTTGTTGCAGCTCAATTCACAATAGCTAGGACATGGAATCAACCTAAACGTTCATCAACAGATGATTGGATAAAGAAACTATGGGATATGTACTCTATGGAACACTATACAGCAGTGAAAAACAATGAAATCCGGGCATTTACAACAAAATGGAAGAAGCTGGAAAACATCATGCTGAGTGAAATAAACCAGTCCAAAAGGGACAAATATCATATGTCCTCTCTGATCGATGGCAACTAAATGAGCATCTAAAATGATACCCATTGAAGTGAAATCGACACTATGAGAGACAATGACATGATCAGCCCTTATCTAGACTGTTGAGGAACAACTTACTATTTTATTCCTTTTAGTATTTGTTGTTGTTGTTGTTGTTGCTCTGTTTGTTCTACATAAGCCTACTGGTTGAACTCTGTAATCAATGTACAATCATTCTTAGGTGTTTAAAATTAACAGAAAAGTGATCTCTGTTAAACATAGGAGTGGGAATAAGAGAGGGAGGAGATATATAAATCGGCACATGCTCATTCGGACTTACCTCCAATGGTGGAACTAGAAATGTGCCAGGAGATTTCAGCTCAATCTTATGCTTTCAGCTCAATACCAATGCCAGTGCACTTGGTAAAGTGATAAGTATAAATACACAACCGATCAAAAAGATAGGGTAAATGTTGAAGAGATTTCACAAATAAGACCAGTGTAAGCAAACAATGAAGGATGGAATTAAAAGGGAGAGTATGATCCTGCGGGGGAAGCAGGTCACACAGCAGACTCATAGAATGGCAAATGCCCAAAGCGGCACTCCTGCCTCAGAATCAACCCTTAGGGCATTCGGATCTGGCTAAAAGGTCCATGAGAGTCTCACAGGCATGGGAAGCCATGACATGATGGCAAAAACAACCTAAATGACAGATCCTGGTGAACAAGACCCCAGCAGAAGGAATAGCCCATCAAGGAGGAGGCGCCTTTCTCTGAAGGGAGGAAGGAACCTCCACTGTGATACGGCCTTGACTAAACAAGTTCAGAGTCGGTGAACTCCAGGGGCTTCCATAGCCTAGACAGCTCATAGCAAGAGTCTCGGGTGATTGCTGATGTCATAAATAAGAGTGCCAATTGTTAAATCAACAACAGGAGTCACTGAGTACAGGCTCCCCACGTAGGATCTCTGTCCTTAATGTGTTTTACTATGAAACTTAAAAAACAGCACTAACAGCATACTAGTCGAACAGTGCCCTATACCTTGTGTGGTTGTGTGAGTGCAGCCTGTTGAAATCCTTGCTTAGTATATACTAAGTTGATCTTCAGTATATGAAGGTAATTGAAAATGAAACTCGATGAAGGACAGGATGGGAGAGGGGATGGGAGAGGAGAGGGCCACGAGAGGGAGGGAGGTGGGGGGGGAACCACAATAATACAAAAGTTGCACTTTGTAAATTCACATTTATTAAATTAAAAAAACTATATAACAAACAAACAAAAAAAGAAAAAAAGAACTTAATACTTTACCCTTTTAGTATTTTTTATGTTCTACTTAAAACTATTGGTTGAACTCTGTAATTAATACACAATTACTCTTAGGTGTTTAATTAATGCTATAACTAGTACTCAAATAGTATTTTACACTTTGTGTTTCTGTGTGGGTGCAAACTGTGGAAATCTTTACTTAATATATGCTAAATTGATCTTCTGTATATAAAGATAATTGAAAATTAATCTTGATGTAAATGGAAGGGGAGAGGGAGTGGGAGAGGGGAGCATTGTGGGTGGGAGGGAAGTTATGAGGGGGGAAGCTATTGTAATCCATAAGCTGTACTTTGGAAATTTATGTTCATAAAATAAAAATAAATAAATAAATAAAAGAAACTAAATTGGATTGCATATCCCAAGTAATACTTGCATTGGTGGATTTTGGATGAAACTAGCAATCTTAGACATCATTAGATAATTTTCAATCTGTGTCTCACTGATATCAGGGGTTCTGATACCTTCAGGATCAGAGTGGAGTGAGTGGGAGTTTGTACTTGACCTGTTTCAAAAGTAGCAGTTTTATTCCTGTCTTGTCTTTTATAGGGAGAGAGGATTCATCAGAAAAGGTAAAACGGAGGATCTATCATCCTCCTCATCTTTCCCTTAATTTATAGCTAAAGAAATTAAACCCCAGGGAAGTAAAGCTTTATCCTGAGTCTAGTGCTCTGATTCAATCAGAACAAAGATACCATCAACTTTTTAATTTTAACATTCATTTGCAAAACCCAAAATAATTTAAGCAAATCCCTCTTGACAATCTATATCAGGGACCAGAAAACTACAGCCTGTAGACCAAATCCCACTCATCCCCTGTTTTTATAAATAACATTTTGTGGGAGCACAGCCACATCACTTATTTACATAATGTCTGTGGTGGATTTTGCACTAAAACAGCAGAGTTGATTAGTTGCAAAAAGATAATCCAGCTCACATAGCCTAAAATATCTGCTATCTGGCCCTCTACATGAAATGTTTACAGATCCCAGGTCTCCATGCTATCCAGAGCACCAGGGAATACATTTATGCAATCACCAGCTGTTAGAGCTATATATCAGCAACAAATGTGACAGATCTTTTCCCACCCACTCCACATGGCTCATACCAGCAGTCTACCCATTGACTGTGTTCTGTCCTATCATTTGTGTTCTGCAGTTTGGAGACAAAATATTTGTCAAAGTTTTAGGATGTATCTGCAAGCCAAGTTAGACAATGTCATTGAATACTCATTATATCACCTTCTGGAAAGAAAGTTAAGCAAGTGGACTCACCTGTATCGGTAGGCCTCACAATACCAGGGTTGCTGCTTCACACACAGAAATGCCGATATCTGCACTATGCAGCTGAAACAGGAATTCAAAAAGACAGAGAGCAGCAAAGGCGGGGAGAGGAGCTGTCCTGCTGGTCTATATGGAGCCAGCTTTGGGTAGGCATGAGTTGAACTCACTGAAAGATAAATGTAATGTTTCCTGTTAGTTTTACTATTGAGAATCAGAGGCTAGAATGCACATTATTTTGAGTCTTTCATTAGGATTCAGGTCTAGCAAACACAAACTGGAGGTTTACATCCATGCAAGCACATTGCCCAGTGTGTATCCAATTCTACTAGGCTTTATCTCTTCTGTGGTTTGATTTTACCTTCAGAAATGAGAAGTAATAGGATAAGTTTCTGTAGTTGAGACAGGTAATGTGGCACAGTGGATTAAGCATCTGATTGGGATGGGTGAATCCCGTACCAGAGTGCTGGTTCAAGTCCTGAGTGCTCAGCTTCTGATCCATCTTCCTGCCATTGCTGATGAGGGCCCAAATGCTTGGGCCCCTGCTACCCACACAGGAGATCTGGATGAAGCTCCTGGCTTTGGTCTGATCCAGTTCCAGCCATTGAAGCCATTTGAGGAGTAAACCAGCAAACAGAAAATTCTCTCTCTCTCTCTCTCTCTTTATATATATACATACACACACACACATATACATATACGTGTACATATACATATTCATAGATGTATATATAGAGAGCTCCCCAATGCGGGAGATTCAGTTGGAGTTCTGGGCTTGGCTTCAGCCTGCCCCAGCTCTGCCTGGCTGTAGCAAGCATTTGGGAAGTGAACCAGAAGATGGAGAATATCTGTCTGTCTATCCCTCCCTCTGTCTTTCAAGAAGATGAAAATAAATAAATGAACTTTTAAAAAATTTTCCATAGTTAATTTATTTACCATATAATATAGTGTAAATGTTTTCTCCACAACCATAAGAACCAAAAATCATGTGTAAAAGGGGAAGAGAATAAGTACTAATGCTCTCTCATAGCAATGATGGGGAAGTAGAGTGTTAGGAGAGAACAAGCAGGTAACTGGCCAGAAACATCTTCCCATACTAAGTAATTTAAAAGGTATTCACTCTATTATTCATTCAACTTCAACGTGCCAGGCATGGATAGATGCTAGAGCTATGGTCTGTTGCTTCCCGGATGCATGAGTGAATGAGGGACTGTTGGTACCCCTTATATTTGTTTAGGAAAAGTAACTTACAAAAAAATCTTGCTGAAAATTAAGAGTGTCAATAAATATTTGTAGTTTTGATCCTAGGAATTTTTTTTTCATTTAAAGGTATTGGCAATGGGAATTGATAGAAAAGAATAAGTATTTTTCAAAAAAGACGACCTTATCCTGCTTAGAAGCAGCAAATTGATGAAACTGAAATGTGTTCTACATTTTAGAGCTGAGGAGGAAAAAGTGTGGAGAGTTCAGGAAGAATAAAATCACATTTAAGGGTTTATATCATAGCTGTTTGGGTTCTTGTCTTCATATCTGTTGCTGGTTCCCTCTTTCTACTTATCACTGATTTCTTGATATGAGGAATAAAGCACTTACATTTGTGTTCATGCGTGTAGAGGCTGGCTGGTGGGGAACAGATGTGCAGTTTGTGATCATGATAAAGGAGGCCTCTCATTTGTTTAAGGTGTGTTCTGGGGTTGTCAAGTGAATTCTCTATACCTGCATTTTCTCCTGAACACATGAGTGTGTGAGGACGTCTCAGTGACATCCAAAGACTTTTCAACTCGTTCTAAAGCTCTCTGACTTTCTAAGGCTTTTACTTTACCTGTTCAATCAATATTCCCCAGCAGGTGCTTGGCTAGAGCCTGAGGGGTGAGAAGGACTCCCAGCTGTCCTCAAACAGTTTGAAGTCCAGGAGAAGGTGCAGGATTAATCGTGCAATTAGGAATTTGGCCGTTTTTCCCCCAGGTCCTGAGATGTGTCCTCCAAATATTTGTGATTTCCTCAGTGATAGATGTGTCTTATCTCTGGAGGGCCTTGAGAGTTTATGCTGATGACTGATGCTGGGTCTAAAGAGAGTTGCTGTTCCCGTGATCACTCAGAAAGGGGGCCCGGCTGTGCTCCAAAGACCATCTGTGTGATGAGATGGCTGGGCCTTTGAGCCACCCAAACACCTGACCTCCAGAGAGGGGAAGGAGCTGGAACTGGAGCTCAACCTTGTGGCCAATGACTCAATCAATCACAGCTACAGACTAAAACCTCAATAAAAACTCCCAACACTGACGCTCAGTTAAACTTTCCTCACCTCTGTTAGGGTGAGAGTCCAGACTCCATAGAAGAAGGACAAAGGAAGTGTGATGTTTGGAACCCTGCCAGATCTTCTCCTGTGTGTCTCCCCCTTTGGCTGCTTCTGATTGTATCCCCTTGCTGTACTAAAACATTAGTAATACATGGAGCACCTTTCCAAGTTCTGTCATTGTGGCAGGAAATTGTTGATCCTGAATAGGTAATGGGAACGCCAAGACATTTCTCCAGCAGGTCAGAGACATAGGTGGGAAGACAACGCCCAAGTGTGTGGTTGGTGTCTAAGCCATGGGCAGTCTTGTGGACCCTGTGAAGTGTGACCTCACTGGAGACAGTTGCTATCAGAAGTCACTGTTTGGGTACACAAAGAAGAGGCACACGATGTGGCCCATGACCAGGGACAACAAAAACGCAAAGAGACCATGCTCTGAGACCTCAGGGAACAGAGGCTGCCGTGCCCAGTGTTCTTCCTGCATGCCAGCATGCAAGACAGAATGTGGCCGTGTGGTTCACAAGGAAGCAGTGGGCAGGGGCGAGCCATGTAATAACTGCGTCTCCTCACATCTGGCTCTTACCTCGCTGGTCTTCTCTCTCACACATGCTCATTGCAGCCCTTGCCTTTCTTTTACACAGGAACTGTAGCTGATTGAACTATTGGCCTCAGCGTGGTGGCCTATACTTTACTACCCTTTAATTTGAGGCTTCTCTGCATGACTTTGTCTGGCCAAAGAGATGTCAACAGAGAGTTCAAGTACCTTACGTGGCCAAGCCTGCTCTCTGGCTCCAATCCCTCTGAGCCACAAAGAGAATATACTCAGTCTCTCCATTCAGTCTGCCCCAGAATGACAAAGCTGGAGCAGATGTGCATCAAATCGAGGCCACACCAAGATCAACTGCCCTACATTCTAAAGCCCAGTGGCTCTGCTGAGTTTACCTTGATGGGCTGAATAACAGTCAACCTAAAGACCCATGACTAGGGTGTATCATAGCTTGGTGTTTTGGAGGTGGGTGATTCTGCAGCATTACTGTGGCAATAACTTGATGATAGAGTGTTCTTTCTCAGAATACTTTGGCCATTTGCATATTAGAGACTGCTAAAATTTCTAACAGAGAATCCATAGAGCTAACTCATATAAAAAATTTTTTAAAATGACTACCATTTAAGTCCCTTCGGTTATGCTAAGTGTTTTATAAATATTATCTATTTTCTTAAAAAGCAATACCAAACAGGTAAATTTGACATCTAAGAAACTGAAGTTCTGAGCAATAAAGTCCCTTGGTTGAAGACACACAGCTAACGAGTGACTCAATGATAACATGAACTCCAAGTCTGTCTGTATAGCCTCATGTTCTCTACTTTACAGAATATTGTATGAGGATGAACCTTATAAGTTAGAAGAATCAGATTAGGAACTCTGAAAGGCAAGCTTGGACTGTAGTACTTTTGATCAGCAGCCAAAAGAACTTTTCTGAATTGTCTAGGGTTTCCTTAAAAGTGATGATGATATATGCCATCGGATTGCAGACAGAGGAATGCACACTTGTGCTGTGCTGTACTTTATGCAGAATTAATCATTCTCTCCTCAGGGTTCCCATAGCACATTACTCATCATGCTGCTATTGTGCAAGGTGTCTCGTAGTAAATCTAGTTATTTACATAGACATTCAGCAGACTGTGAGCTCCCTGAGGAAGAAACCTTGTATCATTCCACTTTTTGTTCCTTAATAAACTTAGCCCAGGACATGCTATGTGAGAGGATGTGACAGTTCCAAACTCTATTCTCAAAGTATAGTTTTTAATTGTTTACCTTCATTTGGGTATCATCTAATTGTGTTTCTCCTAAGTAGTAGTTACTTTTATTTCTTTTTAACCATCTGGTGCTTTTTTTTTCATGCTAATGTGATATTAATACAAACAGAATGGAAGGCAGGTGCTGTAAGTAATAATCAAATGGAAAGATGACCGTTTCACCCATATATGGTAAATTTTAAAGTAATCACATATCATTAAAATAACAGTAGTAAAACATTCTTAAGAATTGACAAAATTTGAGGCTGGCACTGTGGTGTAATAGGCTAAGGCTCTGCCTGTGGCGCCGGCATCCCATATGAGTGCTGGCTCATGTCCCAGCTGCCCTCCTCCAATCCAGCTCTCTATTTAAGGCCTGAGAAAGCAGTGGAAGAGGACCCAAGTGCTTGGGTCCCTGCATCTGTGGAGGAGACCTGGAAGAAGCTCCTGGCTCCTGGCTTTGGATTGGTCTGACTCCAGCCATTGTGGCCATTTCGGGAGTGAACCAGCAGATGGAAGACCTTTCTCTCTGTCTCTCCCTCTCTCGGTCTGTAGCTCTACCTCTCAAATAAATAAATAAATAAAATCTAAAGAAAAAAAATGAATTGACAAAGTTTGACAAACTATGTTTATAGCAATACTGATACACATAGGCATGTCATTTATTTCTTGGTTTATTTCTTGATTTTTTAAAAATTTTAGCTCTTACATATAAGGAAGAACAAATAGTATTTGTTTTTCTGTGTCTGGCTTATTTAACTCAACATATGTTCTCCAGTTGCATCCATTTTGCTGCATGTGGTATAAGTTCATTTAGTTTTAATAGCTAAAATACACACACACACACACATACACACACACCACATTTTCTTCATCTATTCATCTAATGATGGCCACCTTGGTTGAGTCCATAGTTTGGCTATTGTGAAGAGTGTTGCTATGAACATGGGGGTGCAGGTATCTCTTTGATACAACATGTTCATCTTTTGGGTATATGCCTAGTAGTGGGATTGTTGGATCATATGGCAAGTGTTTTTCTAGGTTTTCATTTATTTTTATCTTTTTAGAAATCTCCATACTATTTTCCATATTGACTTCACTAGTTTACATGCCCAAGTAGTAGTTAATTTTATATTATGAACATTTTAAGACTTGTAAGTCAAACACTGGGAGTCTCGTGAATGCATATAATATACACACAAAATGATGAGTATTTATCATGAGACGTCTAAAGCATCTTCCATCTGATTCTCCAAGGGGACCAACACTTAAGCAAGGTTGGGAGCCACTGAAGCACTGATGGGGTTAATATATATATGCAATGAATGCATCCTACCCATACCTCTTTCTTGGGATACTGTAGCCTCCATATGATGAGGTGCTTGGCTTCATGGCGCTGAATCATGTGACCAACCTTCATCACCAGGAATGATTGGCCTAGAGGTGTACATCTTGCCTAAGTCAAGTAAGTAAATTTCCTCTCCAAAAGATTGGCAAGCAGAACAATGAGAGGTTGAGAACATTAGGTGTGCAAGACAAGTAAAAAGGCTATGGAGACTCAGTACTCATGTCATCTTTTGGGATCATTTGCAAGGTAAGGGAGTAGAAGTTGTCAGATGAACACACTAAATAAAAAGAGACAAGGTGATAACTTGGAAATAAAAAGAGTAGCTTCCATTTTTGACCCTTAATATACCAACTCTCTTCAGGGCCAGAGCTTTGTTCACAGATTTTTTGTGGAATTATATTCCTTATTTTTAAAAACTCGATTCTTTCTTATCTGAAAGGCAGAGAGATACAGAGAGAGAGAGATCAACAGAGATCTCATTTATTGGTTCATTCCACAAATGCTTGCAATGGCTGAGATTGGACCAGGCTGAAGCACAGCCAGGAACTCAACCCAGTCTCCCACATGGTGGTAGTGACCCAATATCTGGAACCACTACTGACTGTTTCCTGAGGTATGTGTTATCAGGAATCTAGAGTTAGTAGCCAGAATCTAGAATAAAATCCTGGGACTCCCATGTGGGATGTGGGTATCAACTGCAGGTCAAACATCTGACCCCCAAAATAATGTTCTTGAATACCTCCCTCCTAGTTTCCTTGCTCTGGTTTGAGTGTACTTTGTTGAAGAGGACAGAGAAGTGACTGGAACAAACTTGCTTCAAAATGACTGATACACAGATTAGGGTCAAATTGGACTTTGATACAGTAATTTTCCTAATTTACTTCCTTATGAATTAATCTTTTATTTTTCTCCTTTAATTTCTCTTTGATACAGTACATCTTGTCTTATCAGCTGCCTTTGTATGTTGCCTTAAAATATTGTGGGAACAAGGAAAGATATATATATATATATATACACACACACACACACATACACACATACATACATACAGATATGTAAATTAGTTATATATATATATGTGAACAAGTTTATTAAATATGTGATGCTATTGTCTTTTCCAAGTACTAATTCAGGGTTAAGGCTTAAAGCTTTAAGCAGAGAACTTGGAGATATAAGGAGCCTTGCAAAGAGTAATTTTACATTGGTCATCCAATTGTTGATGACTCCTAGAATGCGGATCAATGGCCACAGTTCTCAGCCTGGCAGTCAAGTTTCTCTGTGATCTGGCCCAAGTCACCTTTTCTAATCATGGCTCCTGCTGTTTCTTTTCACATAGCCTACAGTGTGGTCAAATTGAAAACCTCATACCCTGTGTTTATCAGTGCTCTCTCTTTCTCATGCTGTTTCCTTCTACTGGAAAGGCTCTTCTTTTAGCAAAACATATTTGAAATGTTTCCATCTTCCTATTTCAACATAAATTCTACTTCTTCCATGGTATCATCCCCATTGTCTATCTCCTTTCTCTGCTGCTTTCTCTTCCTTGACCTCAGATTGTCAGAAACTATCACTCTTTTTTTCTGAACTGTGTTAGCATTTGCTATTTTCTGTCTCTCGCTTGCATCTTATTTATTCATGTTCATAAATCTCCCACTAAGCTCTAAACATAACTGATCAGACTACTTAATGCCCCTAGATACCTGAATGCCTAACACACAGTAAGAGAAGAACACTGTGTAAGAGAATGCTGATTGGAGCTTTTCCCATCCTCTGGGGAATTTGGGGGCCTCATGTTTGCATGCGAAGAATGGTAAATGCCAATTTTGTGCCAAGAGAAATGATTGTCATATCTCCACAGTATCTAGTAAGAGAGCTCCACATTGGTCCTTCAACTATAACCATGCTCCCACTATGCCTATTATCTATGTCCAGACTCTTTAAGAGAAACATGCAAATATCACCAAGAAATTCTGTTCAAGAATTGTTAGGGACAGCATGAACTGTGGTTTTCTTCTCAGCATCACCACAATCCAATGAGAGAGTCACAAGAACCACTCTAGGAGAGACTGGAAATGATTTTGAGAAGACACCGTGACCTTGCTCATCCCACTTCTGTTGCAACAGCAGAATGAAGAAAGAGGGCAGCAGTGAGAGCAAGCTACACATCTACAGCCTGGCAGGTCAAGTGTGAAAACAATGGAAATTAACCAGACTAGGGCTATCCTCAAGGGAATCTGCCCAGTGGGGCAGTCTGTAGGCTTTATGGTAAGTACCATCAAGAGGAAGCTGCAGAAAGAAATCCTGAGGTTTGGGGTGGGTAGGGAAAGAGAGAGGAAGAGAAAACTGCTCATGTCAGGAGTGATCTAGAACAGACCAGTCCACAGAGAAATCTGAAGGACTCACCAATGAGTATCATGCAAATTTCCTGAATGTAGATGCCTGTTAGAGAACACCTGACAGGAGAGAGCTACAATACTTTCACTTAATTAAAAGCTCCTTTGCTCTTCATTCCCCAGAGCAAGTATGGAAAGTAGATCACACAAAGGAAGTAAAGACAAATTCATGACCTTCTCTCCCAGTGCTTGCTCCAAGCCATGGGTCGATCTTGATCCAGGAGAAGAAAAGCTTTGAATTGGCTGGGAATGTGAAATGGCTGTTTATAATATCTGGACTTTTCATATCTAAAAATGAGGTCATTTTAATGCCTGGAATTGAGCAGGAAATAATCTGCCCCTAGGATGCCCGAACTTACAGAGATGGAAAAGCAATAGAATGTTTGAAGGCAGAGGGTACAAAGCAAACAGAAATATCTGCTTCCTGCCTCTACTCTCATCTTCACCATTCTCCCCTGACTATAGGCCCTTTACAGAACTAGCTGCGTGATTGGTGAATAATAATTGGCTAACGTGCTGTCACTCTGATAGAACATTAAGCTTCTGATCAACCATGCATCTGAGACTGTTTTTTCTCCTAATGGCACTAATGGCCCTGCCATGTGTCATCCCAACCCTCCCACTGAGCCCACTGCAGGAGAAGGTGATGGCTTTCTCAGGGTGGCCGATCAGCATCGGGATAAACTGGCTATGGCTGCGGGAAAGAGTAAAGTACCCCATCACCTGGGACTCAAATCCATAACTAATATATGAAATTAAGTATGTAAAACCTCAAAACAACATGCTCAAGGTCATATAACAATTCTGACACAAGACCAGCGCTATCACCCATGGTTATGGATATATAATAATACTTTATTGGAACACTTCCCAGTGCTTCCTTTCAAGTGCTCACCCACTTAGCCAGTCTCCTCAGAGGAGAAAGAGGAGAGGTACAGAGTGAGATCCTTCGTGTTGAAATGGGTGCCCTGCGCTCTGCTGTACACTTTACAAGCATTTTTATCTGATCTTGGCAACCCTAAAAGGACACTGCACATGAGGAACTTATTTTTAATTAGTGATAAATAATTTTCTAAAGGTCACAGAGTTCTGCAGTAGTGGAAGAGGTACATGATTTTTATCTCCATGTGGCTGTTCTTAAAACAGTTGACTATTCTTGGAACCTCCTAATGTTCCTTTTTCCTTAAGGCATCCTTCACGAGTAAATAATGCAAATTACTTGAAAACAGCCAACATTGTAGAAGAAATATCATTGATTCAAAATTATCCACTTATATCAATATAAACAACATGTAGAAAAACATTTAATGAGCTATAAATTCACATTTCAACCCTAAGAATCAAAATTGATATCATATCTCTGATACTGGTACATTTTGTCATTTGGTTGATATAATACATGATTCCAATACTTATTTCATGTTTTAAGATGATACATGAAATTCTCAAGGTTATTAATACCCTGCATTGCCTGATGTCTTATCTGTTATTTTTCACAGCACTTCCACTATTGAACAAAGAAAAAAAGAGATGACAATGCCATTCTTTTTCTTTGCTCTCTTTTGAGGCCATTGCCTTTCTCACTTATTAAGAGTTAGTATCAAGCACTGAGCTCCTTGATAGGAAATGCTTTATCAGTGTCATCTCAGAGGAAGGGAATGAGCAATAGCTGCTGTAAGCCACACCTTGCTTTCGTGAGAATTCTACTAGAATAAAATGCTGGCATTTGTTTTCACACGTCAAAAACCTGGCAAAAACCTGGTTTTGTGTCAATGTGAAGCATAGCTGAATAATGGAAAGTGACCTTTTAGTTTTTTAAAAAAAACTACCTTTCTAGATTTCTCATTCATTTATCTATGTACAAGACACAAACCTACAAAGAATTCAGAATACATATTTTGGGGCAAAGGGATAATTGTTATTAGGAAGACTTCAAGGATCTGCTCACCCTTGATACTACTTTCAAAAAGTTCAAAATAATGACATTTTAGTAATAAAGGTGACTCTTTCTCAGAGTACTTGTTCACATATTTCTAGAAGTCAATAGGTAAATACAAATAATACCATGCTCTGCTGAAGGGCTTACTTGTTAAGCAGACCATCAGAGTAATGGCTACATCTTGCATGAGATACTGATAATTCCCAAAGAGTTGCAGTTGCTGAAAAAGAAAAAAAAAAGTGAACATTTAGCATAGACTTTTTATCAAGCCCATGACTTTTTTAAGTAGTTAGAAGGCAACTGTTAATTTTCTTGCCCCTTCAGGAGAAAATAACTTACTGAAAATCATTCGCATCTTACTGAATAGAATATCATATAATGCCTTTCCAAATGTTCATTTAATTCCTTATTACCCGCAAGTGTCAGTATGTATGGAACCACCTCCATTTGGTGACGTTAATTTTGGCAGTGGTAGTCTCAACCTGGGCAGTTCTTAAAAGAGATATTAAAGCCTGAAAATTTCTTGGAGGTCTTCAAATAAAATTTGAAATCAAGGCCTTAATTAGCTCATCAGGTGTTGCTCTCCATCCTTACCCATGGATTGAAATCATACCATGTAACTGTACCTCAAAAGGTTCATAAAGAGATGGAATTAAAATTAAATTTAGGAGGTCAGCATTGTGGCACAGTGGGTTAGGATGACACCTATAATGCCGGCATCCCATATGGCTGCCAGTTCAAGTCCTGGCTATTCCACTTCCAATCCAGTTCCCTGATAATGTACCTGGAAAGGCAGCAGATATGCTTAGGCCCCTGCCACCCGCATGGGAGATCTGGATGAAGTTCCTGACTTTGGCCTGCTATGTCCCTGGTCACTGCAATCATTTGGGGAGTGAAACAGCAGATTGAAGATCTCTCTCTCTCTCTCTCTGTCTTTGAAGTAAATAAATCTTTTTTTCAAGATTGATTTTCAATTCTCTTTATATACAGAAAATCAGTTTAGTATATATTAAGTAAAGATTTCAACAGTTTGCACCCACACAGAAACACAAAGTGAAAAATACTGTTTGAGTACTAATTATAGCATTAAATCACAATGTACAGCACATTAAGGACAGGAGGAGTAAGTGCACAGTGACTCCTGTTGTTGACTTAACAAATTGACACTCTTGTTTATGGTGTCAGTACTTTCCCTAGGATCTTGTCATGAGTTGCCAAGGCTATGGAAGCCTTTTGAGTTCACCGACTTCGATCTTATTCCGACAGGGTCATAGTCAAAGTGGAAGTTCTCTCCTCCCTTCAGAGAAAGGTACCTCCTTCTTTGATGACCTGTTCTTTCCACTTGGATCTCACTTGCAGAGATCTTTCATTTAAGCTATTTTTTTTTTGGTCAGAGTTTCTAGGCTTTCCATGCCTGAAATACTCCCATGGGCTTTTCAGCCAGTTCCGAATGCCTTAAGGGCTGATTCTGAGGTCAGAGTGCTATTTAGGACATCTGCCATTCTATGAGTCTGCTGTATATCCCACTTCCCATGTTGGATCATTCTCTCCCTTTTTTATTCTATCAGTTAGTATTTGTAGACACTAGTCTTGTTTATGTGTTCCCTTTGACTCTTGGTCCTATCATTATGATCAATTGTGAACAGAAATTGATCACTTGGACTACTGAGATGGCATTGGTACATGCCACCTGGATGGGATTGAATTGGAATCCCCTGGTATGTTTCTAACTCTACCGTTTGGGGCAAGTCCGATTGAGCATGTCCCAAATTGTACATCTCTTCCTTCTCTTATTCCCACTCTTATATTTAACAGGGATCACTTTTCAGTTAAGTTTCAACACTTAAGAATAATTGCTTATTAATTATAGAATTCAACCAATAGTATTAAGTAGAACAAACAAAAACAATACTAATAGGCTAATCCTCCACCTTGCGGCGCCGGCACACCGGGTTCTAGTCCCGGTTGGGGCGCCGGATTCTGTCCCGGTTGCCCCTCTTCCAGGCCAGCTCTCTGCTATGGCCAGGGAGTGCAGTGGAGGATGGCCCAGGTGCTTGGGCCCTGCACCCCATGGGAGACCAGGAAAAGCACCTGGCTCCTGGCTCCTGCCAGGATCAGCGCAGTGCGGCGGCCATTGGAGGGTGAACCAACGGCAAAGGAAGACCTTTCTCTCTCTGTCTCTCTCTCTCACTGTCCACTCTGCCTGTCGGAAAAAAAACAAAAATAACAGATAAGACAATACTCAAAAGCGATAAAGTATAAGCTTGTTCATCAACAGTCAGGGCAAGGGCTGATCAAGTCACCGTTTCTCATAGTGTCCATTTCACTTCAACAGGTTTCCTTTTTGGTGCTCATTCAGTTGTCACCAATCAGGGAGAACATATGATATTTGTCCCTTTGGGACTGGCTTATTTCACTCAGCATGATGTTTTCCAGATTCCTCCATTTTGTTGCAAATGACCAGATTTCATTATTTTTGACTGCTGTATAGTATTCTGTAGAGTACATGTCCCATAATTTCTTTATCCAGTCTACTGTTGATGGGCATTTGGGTTGATTCCAGGTCTTAGCTATTGTGAATTGAGCTGCAATAAACATTAAGGTGCAGACAGCTTTTTGTTTGCCAATTTAATTTTCTTTGGGTAAATTCCAAGGAGTGGTATGGCTGGGTTGTATGGTAGCATTATATTCAGGTTTCTGAGGAATCTCCAGACTGACTTCCATAGTGGCTTAACCAGTTTGCATTCCCACCAACAGTGGGTTAGTGTCCCTTTTTCCCCACATCCTCGCCAGCATCTGTTGTTGATAGATTTCTGTATGTGAGTCATTCTAACCGGGATGAGGTGAAACCTCATTGTGGTTTGATTTGCATTTCCCTGATTGCTAGTGATCTTGAACATTTTTTCATATGTCTGTTGGCCATTTGGATTTCCTCTTTTGAAAAGTGTCTATTGAGGTCCTTGGCCCATCTCTTAAGTGGGTTGTTTGAAGTAAATAAATCTTTACATACATATACATATACTCTATATATACATATACATATATACTATATATATATATATATATATATATATATATAAAGAGAGAGAGATTTTGTTTCTTTTGGTGCAGAAAAATTTTGAAATCCATCATAGCTTTTTCATAATATACATATTCCAAGAACATTTTGAAGATCTCCTGTTTTGCATGGATTTCAGTGTGGGTTTTTTTTTTTTTTTTTGCACCAAATAAGCTTATCTTTTAATTCCATTTCCTTTAAACTTTTGGAGCATCCTCCTGATTCTCTTGGAGTTCATTCACTTTCACAAACTGAACAAGGGCTCTCTTTAGGTATGCCCATTGCAGCCTTTAGTCCGGTACCCCTGCCTTTCTAAGGCTTATGAAGACATAAAATTTCTTTTAAGTTACAGTTAAGAAATTGAAGCATTTAATTATAAAAGTCAAATCACTATTCTCTAAGAACTTGCCTTACAACACCTTTAGCAGCCAAGCCTGTGTATTTGCTTTGTATATTTTGATGGAATGCCAAACTGTAATTTTGTTCTGAGCACGTCACAGACCAGATTTATGCATGTGAAAAATATTCATATTGCTGGCCTCTTAGAGGATGAATCTAATGCCCAGAGGTAGTGGGCTCCGGCCTTTGGGGGACACACTTGTTTTGGTCTAAAGCATCAGAATGAATGACTCCCAAGTGGATTATGGTTCTAACTCCATCTGTGGAGACTTGGGAATTGGAGTTTTGCTTTGAAAGGCTGCAATCAATTCCTCCATGAACTCTCAATCTCCAATTCTTTCGCTGTCTTCTTTCCTTTCTTTCTCATATTCTTTCCCTTTCTTTCCCCCAGGTGCTGGAAGAGATGGAACAGTGAGAACTCCAGCAGCAGCCTTAATTTCCTTTTCACTCTGCAAGGAGTGTGCATGGAGCTATAGAAGGCTTTGAAAATAATTGACCAGCCCAATTTCTCATAGGCACATTTTGGCCAAGGGCAAGATCTAATTTGTTTTGTAGTTAGAGGAAGAACTTGAATCCAGGTTTCCTGTGACCAATCTGGTTTCTGCTTCTCCCCACTAGACTGCCCTTCAGCCCTCTGTGTGTAATCTTTCAAGCAGTAATCCACCAGCCCTCTCAAATATACCAGGGTAAAAGCCAAATAGCTCCCTTTCTGAAGTGTGCTTCTAGCCTGTTGAATAATTTTACTGAAGAGCAAGCTATAATTTTGGGATAATGGAGATGACTTTCTTTTTTTTCTTTCTTTCTTTCTTTCTTTTTTTTTTGGACAGAGTGGATAGTGAGAGAGAGAGACAGAGAGAAAGGTCTTCCTTTTGCTGTTGGTTCACCCTCTAATGGCCGCCACGGCTGGTGCGCTGCGGCCAGCGCACTGCGCTGATCCAAAGGCAGGAGCCAGGTACTTCTCCTGGTCTCCCATGGGGTGCAGGGCCCAAGTACTTGGGCCATTCTCTACTGCCTTCCCTGGCCACAGCAGAGAGCTGGCCTGGAAGAGAGGCAACCGGGAAAGAATCCGGCGCCCCGACTGGGACTAGAACCCGGTGTGCCGGCACCGCTAGGTGGAGGATTAGCCTATTGAGCCGCGGTGCCGGCCTGGAGATGACGTTCAACCTATACATAATTCTTTTGTATAGCCATTCAATTTTTAAAAACTTACTAGTATTTCATTTAAAGAGTACTTTTTTTAGTTCAGAGAATTGCTAATCCCTTATTAATGACATGTCCAACTGTATAAATTCTGGGTAGGTTCAGAAGTACAACTTCTTATGGGAGATTTTTAGAATTCCAGTCTTTCAAAGCCAAATACAACAACTTCTCCTCCTTTTAATCTCTTCTCAGTCTTTTGCCAAAAGTATTCCACAGTTGGACACTGATCCATTTCTTGCTGATTATATTTAGATTTCTCTGAAGCCCTCTTCATACTACAACTGGGACTTAGAGAGGTCAGGAGCCTCAGGTTGTCTGGAGAAAAACAACACCCTAGAGAACAGATCCACATCTACTTATTTGTAACCCCATGTTTCATGCACCGTTAAATCAGTTTGCAGATAGCTATTTTGAGAAATGCCATTTATTTATAAAACATTAAATCTGATTTAGGAGCCATATCCTCAGAGAATAAACTAGGGATGTAAATGCCATAACTGTGAACATATGATTTTGGTTCTTACCCAATAGAGCAATGATGTACCAATGAATTGAATTATGCCATACATGGTCAGGTATTTAAATACCCCAAAGGATGAAACCAGAGCAGCTCGGCCTTCTCTGTTGAGAAATAATAGTAATAATTGGTTAAGTGTCATACACAGCTCCCAGTTTCTATGTTTCACAAGGAGTTTGATTTTTAATAATTTGTTGATACACATGAACTTAATCACTGATTCAGCCTCTCAATTACTTAACCACATTCATCCATCCTCTTTCTCTTTCAGTCATTACCTCACTCAGTTATTTACTTTTTCATTTCTGGCTTATAAGGTACCAATATTATGCTAAGGGCTATGGTGGATATGAAAGGAACCAGGCACAGTCCTTATTCCCAATAAGCTGTCAGTGAAGTGAAAAGATAACCATGTATATTATAGACACAACACAACATTATAAGGTGTAAAATGTCAAGTATGGACTTGATTGTGATCATTACATCTTAAAAATACATGCTTCCTAGGAATGGTACTGTGTGTGTTTCAGGGGCCCTTAGAGACATAAAGATAATGGATGGGTGCCCTCACTTTTCAGGGAATGTGGATATGACTCTAATATTTGAGATGTAATAGGTTTTGCTGGCTTCAACATCTCAAGAACCCAGGGTAATAATCTGAGCTGGTATAGAGATGAAGTGATCAGGACCACATTAAAAACTTCACTTTAACAAGCGGACATTATCTCCTTTTAAAAATCCACTCAGATCTGTTGGATGTCAGATTATGCTGGCCAAGGGAAGACGATGAGTTAGTAGCATGCAATGGGAGCGGGGACTTGGGAAACCACCACGCCTCATGTCCAAGCAGAAGCTAATTCACATGGGAGATGACCACATCTTTATTTCTAGTCCTCAGTGATATGGGTGCTTGCTCTACTCAAGACTTTGTTGACCCAACAGGGACATAAAAAGGAAAAGCTAAAAGTCCAACTACTAGCCAACCACTCTTCCTTATGCAACATGATGGGGTGCTCACATACTGGAAGCTTGATCCCTAGTGTCCAACATTCTAAATAGTATTTGAAGGTGATAGACATTGAAGAGCTACTCAACCTTAGGTATCTCATTACAGCAGCAGAAAATGGGCAAATGCATTGGGGCTGGCATTGTGGCTCTGCAGCAATTTGAACACAAGTGTTCCACTTTCAATCCAGCTTCCTGCTAATGGGCCTGGGAGGCAGCCGATGATGGCCCAAGTACTTGGGTTCTTGTCACCCATGTGGGAGACCTGGATGGAGTTCCTGGATCCAGGCTTTGTTTGGCCTGGCCTACCCTTGGCTGTTATGGGCACTTGGGAAGTGAACCAGTGAGCCTAACATCCATCTCTCTCTCTCTCTCTCTCTCTCTCTCTCTCTCCCTCTGCCTTTCAAATAAATGAATAAATAAGTAAATAAATAAATCTTTTTAAAAATGGCAAACCTATGGATCTATGCTTTCAAAACTATATTTCATTCCTCCTCAGGGGAGCTTTCCCAGGAATAAGCATTCATCAAAAATAGCAGGGGTAGAATGAGTCCAACAGAGATGAACCATATTTGGTTTTTATGGATCTATGAAATACAGAAGAAAAGAACCTCTGCCTTGTCTCCCTAAGTAGGCTATCTGCCACTGGAGAGATTTGGCATCACAATTTGTGTTATAAACAGTATACTGCATTCATAAATGCTGGACCACATTAGTGTGAGAGAGTCTATGAAGTTCAATGCCACAACATTTTGAATGGATCTTGGCAATTTGTATAACTCCTCATGGAAGCTACTTTACCTGGCTTAACCTCCACAATTTCCATATGAAAAGTCTTTCAGTCCAAGTGGGTTACCAGTAACAACCTCAATTATAAATGTGACTATCCCATTTTGTCCATTTGTAATCCCTCCAACCTCCTTTCTGTTACAAACTTTCATCCAACGGTCAAGTCCCAACTCCCCTGTTGAAGCCTTCTTTCCTGGCTTGAGTTCATTTACTCAAACTGCCAGAATGTTTATTGTTTGGATGTTAATATATTTTAAGTATACTTATTGAGCAGCTTTTATGCATCAGGCATCAGATTCTCTGTATTGTGAGATATCCACATATCCCAGGGGGCTGGTGCTGTGGCATAGCAGACAAAGCCACCACTTGCAGTGCCAGCATCCCATATGAGTGCTGGTTCGAGTCCCAGCTGCTCCACTTCTGATCCAGCTCTCTGCTATGTCCTGGGAAAGCAGTAGAAGATGGCCCAAGTCCTTGGGCCCCTGCACCAGCGTGGGAGACCTGGAAGAAGCTTCTGGCTCCTGACTTCAGATCAGCCCAGCTTCAGCTGTTGCGGCCATCTGAGGAGTGGACTAGTGGATGGAAGATCTCTCTCTCTGTGTTTCTGCCTCTGTGTGGCTCTGTCTTCAAATAAATAAATAAATAAATAAAGATATCTGCATATCCCTATCTGCTTTACTGTGATGTGAGTCCTCCAGGACAAGGCTTTGTCCCATCTCTTTTTTTTTCCTAAGATTTATTTATTTATTTGAAACTCAGAGTTACACATAGAGAGGTCTTCCATCGATGGTTCACTCTCCAATTGGCTGCAACGGCCAGAGCTGCACTGATCTGAAGCCAGGAGCTAGGAGCCAGGAGCCAGGAGCTTCTTCCGGGTCTCCCACACAGGTGCAGGGGCCCAAAGACTTGGCCATCTTCTGCTTTCCTATAGCAGAGAGTTAGATTGGAAGTGGAGCATCTGGGACTAGAACCAGAGCCCATATTGGATGCCGGTGCTTCAGGCCAGGGCGCTAACCCACTGTGCCTCAGTGCCAGCCCCCCCCATTCCTTTTTTAATTTTACTGATTTGAAAGGCAGAGTTATAGAAAGAAGGAGAGTCAGAGAGACCTCCCCATCCTCTGGTTCACTCCCCAAATGGCCAGAATGGCTGGAGCTGGGCCAGACTGAAGCCAGGAGCCAGGAGCTTCTTCTAGGTTTCCAATATGGGTGCAGATGCCCAAGCTCTTGGGCCATCCTCTGCTGCTTCCTCAGGTTATTAGCAGGGAGCTGAATAGGAAATTGAGAAGCCAGGATGAAAACCGATGCCCATATGGGATATTGGCCTTACAGGTGGCAGCTTAACCTTCAGCACCACAATGCTGGACCCCTTGTCTCAATCTTTTATCTACCACATTTTCAAGCACAACATTTAACAAATTCTGTGAGCTGTGATGATGATGGAAATCATGAAATACGGCGAGGTATCTGAGCACTATCTTTATATAGTCACCCTGACATCAACATTAAGGCAACAGAGACAGTGAGCAAAGGGCTTAGAGACACTTCGCAAAGACAAATCAATAAAACACAGTGGCCTTTTGGTTATGGAGGAAGAAGAAGAGAGAGTTCAATGTACTCTGAGATTCTGAACTTCACTGATGGACACTAAGGAACTGATCATTCTTAGAAACAGGTAACATGGGACTTGGAAAGATGGGCTGTTTGTTGGTAGAAGAGGTGATGGGGTTTGTGGGCCCAGAAGGACACAGGTGTAGATACTCGATGTTCAGGGAGAGGTGTCAAACTGTCGCTGAAGGTGTAGACTTTCAGGCCAGGCACCTTTAGGCCAGTGATTCCTTTAGTTCTGATGCACCAGGGGACATGCTGAACTTCATGGTTGTCTTTTCTACATACACCTCAAATTTTGGTGGTGTCTTCCACACTACTGGCCGTTAGGATTCCCAAAATTATCCCAAAATGTTATAGAAAAGAACAAGGGAACCAAATTCATGAGCAGAAAATAAAATATAATGTTGTATTTTTAATTACATTTAAGATAGAGATATGATCAGAAATTCAAGTGAAGTAGGTGTGAGGGAAAGATACTAGCAGGGTAAATAGCTCTTAATTCCTTCCATTTTTCTTACCAATGCCAGTCAATCACTTGTAATATCTTCCATATAAACATTTTGACTATTTGCTAGTTTTCATTCTGGAGACTTATAATACTATTTGGGAAATCTCTCTAATGCGGTGTGCCCTTTCTGCTTCCAAACCATCCTGAACTCCTGAGGAAATATCCCAAGAAGCAAGCAACACAAAAAACCAAGGAGGAGAGAAGTGTGAAATGCAATCAGTTAATCAATATCAAGTCAGGCTTTCAGCTGTCCACATAACACACCCACCTATCTTTGAAGGCTCTGCAAAGTTCACTTTGTTGTGGCTTCTACCAGTATTCTCAAGCAGTACTAATGGCCCCTTAATCGGTGCACTAATAGCACTTTACCCACATCTGTTATAGTTAATTCTGTCTCTCCAGAGCCAGACGATGAGCCTGTCCTCTACCAGAGCAGAAGGGGAAGAAATGACTCACCTGATGAGATGAGGCACACACTCAATGTTGGCTATTTTCGAGGTAAAAGGTGATGCCACAGATGCTTCCTGTTCTGACAGTGAGATTCCTGCGTGAGCCATTTTCAAGGCCTGGAAAGATCAATCCATTGTACAGCCTTGACTCCTGAGAAAGGCTCTAACACTTCACATCGTAGAATTATAACACTGTACCTTTCTGTCCCTGGGTCTCTGTTTACACTATCCCTCCACCTGGAATACCCTCCCTCCTTTGATCCACAAACCCACAAATGAAAAAGGGAGCAATGAAACAGTGCTCCACAAGTAGAAGTGCTGTATGTGTGTGCATGACTGTGTGTGTTGGCTGTGGGTGTGTAGATGTGATAAGGAAACGGAAGTGCTAACTCAAAAGATCCATTAAGGGGTGAGCATTTGGTGTACTGAGACACTGTTTGGGATGCCTGCATCTCATATCTGAGTGCCTGGGTTTGAGTCTCTGCACTACTTGTGATTCCAGCTTCCTGCTGACACACACCCTGGAAACAGTAGGTGATGGCTCAAGTACATAGATTCCTGCCATTCACATGGGAGACCTGGATTGAAATGGGCTCCTGGCTTTAGCCATTTGGAGAGTGAACCAGTGGATAGGATGTCTCTCTCTCTCTCTCTCTCTCTCTCTCTCTCTCTCTCTCTCCCTCTCCATTTAATATAAATATACTTTTTACAGAGATCACAGAAGTTGATGGACATTGGTTGGGTCCTTGATAATCTTAGTTGTTACACACCACAGGACATCTTTATGAACCGGAAAAGATTTGATCCCTACCTTTCCCTAGTCTGCCTGATCTAGCCAATCAACTAACCACTGGGATGGAGTGGGGGACCAGATTGCATTCATCACGCTCATTCAAGCCCATGTGTTGTTCCTCTGAAATAAGGACTATTTTGTTTTTTTATTGTTCTGAAAACAGTCCAGAGAGTGCAAAGGTTGATTAACAGGCAGGTCAGCAAGCCTCTAGCCCTACAAGAATTGTATGGGTCTCGAATGAGATGTTTGACTTCTGTAGTTTCACGGAACCATAAACTACCTGGCGATCTGGCTGATACTTGCAAGATTCAAGTTCAATAAATATCGCAACATTTCTTCCTTCCTCTTTTCTCCTTAGCATTTTCTGTCTCAACTATATGACATAAGAACATCTACATTATATCCAGGTTAGTTTGATTTTCCCCCATCAGACAATGAGCTCTTTGTGGAGCGGACCTTATATGAATTTTTAGCATTTGGTATCTTTATTTTGTGCTAAATTCCATATAATCATAATAAGACTGAGCATTCATTCTAGATTTTAAAAAATTGTTTAATTATTTGAAAGATAGAGAAAGATCTCCCATTTGCTGGTTCACTCTTCAAATCCTCCAATATTCAGGACTGGACTAGGTCAAATTCAGGAGCTGGGAATTCAATTTAAGCTTTCCATTTGGGCAGGCACCCAAGTCCCAGGATGCACATTAGTAGAAAGCTGGAATTGGGAGTAGAGCTGTACTTGAATCCAGGCACTGCAGTGTAGGGTATGGGCATCCCAAGGGGGTGTCTATACCAAATGTCCACTTTGGAAAATTTTTTTTTTAATTTTGGGTGAGAGAGGGAGAGGGTGAGAGAGAAGAAGAAGAAAAAGAAGAAGGAGGAGGAGGGGGGAGGGAAGGTGGGAAGGGGAGAAGAAAGGGGAGGAGAGAGAAAAAGAAACAGAAACAGACATAGATAGGGAGAGCTCTCCTGCACTGGTTCACTCCCTAAATGTTTGCAGTGGCTTCCAGCAGGAACTTGAAGCTGGAAACCAGGAATTCATTACAGGTTTCTCAGATGGGTGGCAGGAAACCAACTGCTTGAAACCATTACTGCTGCCTCCCAGAGTCTGCATTATAAAGACTCTGGAATCAGTAACCAGAGCCAGGTATTAAATCCAGACACTCTGATATGTCATCTTAACCTCAGTGCCAAGTGGTTGCACTCATCTAGATTTTTAAAGAAGAGATTAACAACTAGCTCTTTCTCATGAAGCAGAAATTTATAATAATTTTCTGTATGAGCATGGTTTTCTTCACAGAACTTTGGAGGAATATTAAAGAGGAATATTAGATCTTAAATATCTAATGAACTTTGGAAATAAAAAGCAATTTTCTTCTGGGCCTATAAATTGTCTAATATAATCCTCAATATAAACTGTTATTTGAATCGTATCTTTACAACTCCAAATACAAAGCACGCACCGTCCTTCTGTGTGTGAGAAATAATCTCAGAATCATTTGATTTAGGTTTTGCAATATCTAAATATTTTGTTTTAGGATTTCACTAAGTGTGAAAGTTTTTGAATAAAGCTAACTGATTTTTTTAAGATTTATTTATTTGAAAGAGTTATAGAGAAAAAAAAAGCTAACTTATAAACTAAACCCAGAATGTAAGTTTCCACAGGAATAAATAAATTTACCATAAGTTAATACATAAATCATCAGTTTCAAACTTTATCATCACTAAGAATTTATCAGCTTTGTGACCGTGGGCAGAATTACTTCACCTGAGACGTTATTTCCCTACAGATAACGTGAGGATTTAAACCAGGTGGTCTTGTAAAGTCTCCTCTGGGTGTGACATAGGGAGAGAGTTCAAGTTGTCTTCCCTCATCTCTGTTACTCTAAGAGTTGCCAGAGAACAGCTGACGTGACTCATCTTACTTTACTCCTCTCCACCTGCAGCCCACACTCCGGTGGAGGAAATTATAAACACCCAAACAAGCCAGCGGATTCTGGAGGAAGGATGAAGAGGTCGACACCTAAGGACCATGAGCTCCTCAATAGGGGCTTCGGCGAGCTGCTTGTGGGAGCAGAAGTCCTTTCTACTCACCCCACAGTCATTAGCTCCATCGCCACACATGCCCACATAATAACTGCAGGGAAAAGGATAAGAAAAGTTAATATCTTGACTCTTGAGTAATTTCCATCATAACTACTTCACATGCAGGATGTGTGTATGTGTGTGTGTGTGTGTCTGTGTGTCCCCAACATGTGTGAAATCAGCCTGAACAAAAATGACTTCGAGGATCATATCCCCAACAGAAAAGGGCCATTGCATTATTTAAATAGTTTCAATCAATTACTTTGAGATGGTAGGGATACCACCAAGGACATCAGCAAAAACAGTGATCACACACTTCAAAAGAAGTCCTCTTTCAGTATCGCCACCAAAGCCAAGCTGAAGAGTATACAGTCATAGTTATAACACTTCACACACAATCTAACTCAGATGTCACGACATAATCTGCCCGTGTTTCTGTTGTTGACTGCTGCTGAGAGTTTATAGAGTTCAGAGACCAGGAAGAGAAACAGCTGGAAAATAGTTTAACATATATAACTAGCGACATATGTGCTTGCAAGCATCCGTTATGCACCTCAGAGTGAAAATCAGATACTATGCTCCCCACTTGTATCAGTTTGACATGCAGACATGATACAAATAGAAGAGTAAAAATTAAAGTTGCTGTCAAAGGAATTCTATGCATTATGCAGACTGTCTTGTATTATAAGTAAACATACCTTCTAGAAATTGAATAATAGCAACACCACAAGATATTCAGTTGCACTGTTCAAAAACCAGATTAAATTTAAATATTAATAAGGTGAAAAAGTAAAGTTCTCTTAGAATGGGCTTATTATTAGCCAGCACTTAGGAAATGACCACTTTTGGGCCAGGACTTTGGTGTAACCATTAAGATCCTTCTTGGGAAGCCCGTATTCCATATCAGAGTGCCTGGGTTCCAGCGCTAGCTCCATTTCCAATTCCAGCTAGTGCACACTCTCAGAGGTGGCAAGTGGTGGTTCAAGTACTTCGGTCTTTGCCATCCATGTGGGAGACCTGGATGGAATTCCAGGCTCCTGGCTTTGGCATGGCCCAACTGTTGTGGGCATTTGGAGGAATGAACGATGGAAAATCTTTGTCTGTCTCTCTGCCTGCCTTTCAAATAAAATGAGAAAAAATAAATAAGCATTTTAAAAGACCACTCTTACTGGCCAAATGGTCAAATATAGCCAAATTCATATTCCTATGGTTCAACCTACTATTGAGCTCGTATATATGAAAACCCCCCATAATTTCAGATGCACGTCAGCACTCCTGATAGCTGTTAGAACAACGGCTTGCTTTCTTCAGGCTTAAAGCACATATCTAATGCTTATATCACATCGAGAATCAGATCTCCTAGTGTTCTCTGAAGTTAGGAAGGGAACGCAATCTTCTGCACATCTCTGATGATGAAGACATGAATAAGAAGATTGGGAAATTGGGAAGGCAGCTCATTCTGAAACAGCATGTGTTTTCCTGAACTGATTTTTCTTTAAGGGAATAGAACTTCTCAAAATTAAGCATTTAAGCTGGGAAAAATCCTCAGATATTTGAGAAAGTTGAAATTACTTTCTTCAGTCAATATCATGTAATGACCATGTGAGGGAAATAGTCGTTTTAGGTGCTGATTACCTACCCAGCCTCAAAGAATTATGGGAGTTAATAGGCAGTTTTGAGGCATTCCTGTGAGTGCTTGTGCAATGAAATGTGATGGTAAAAGGCAGTCTCCTGATTTCACCCATGACTTAGCAGCAATTATCAGAAGTTTCACTCATCTCTGTTCCTGTTTACTTTCTGGAATGCGTGGGCTGGAAACTCTAACATTCTCAGCAAGTAACAAGTCGACCTGCCCTCAAGAAGAACTGGTTAGTTCTGATGTGACTTGGTCATCTGTATTTTTGAAAGAAAAGTAAAGACCTTTCCTTTGATGTAATCCCTATTGCGTGATATTTCACCTCTTGCCTAGAACACCAGAAATAGTCCATATGTCTTCTTTTTCCTTTTTTAACAGATTTATTTATTTACTTTAAAGTCAGAGTTACAGAGAGTTGGGAAGACAGATTTTCCATCCACTGGTTCACTCCTCAGATTAGCTGCAATGGGTCAAGAGCCAGGAGCTTCTTCTAGGTCTCCCAGGCGGGTAGCAGGAACCCAAGCACTTGGGCCATTGTCCACTGCTTTTCCCAGGCCATTAGCATGGAGTTGGATCAGAAGTGGAGCATCCAGAATATAACCCAGCACCCATATGGGATGCTGGCAACTCAAGCAGGGCTCTACTCACTATGCCACAGCACCGGCTCCAGTCCATTCTTTTTCCTAATGGACTGACATGAAATGATGTCAGATAACTCACACACTTTCCCATTTTCCTCATTCCAAGTGATACAAACACTCAACCATCTTTTCTCTATATGTAAGCCGATCTTTGCAAATTCTTTCTGGAGTAGAAAACTCATAAAATGGCTCCCCATGCTACCCACTTCCTGGCAATCACTCCCTTGAGTGTGAGCTGGACCTGGTGAGTTGTTCCTCACAAGGAAGAGATGTCACTGCTGATGTTTGGATATAAACAACAGTGACACTGATGTCTCTCTCTCTCTCTCTCTCTCACCCCTCTCACCCCCCCACCTCCAGGGTGCTCCTCACTTGGCGGTTCTTATGGAAGCCATCTACCAAATTGTGAGCTTCCTTATGAAATGGGCCATGTGGCAAAGGACTGAGGATGGTGTCTGTTCAACAGCCAGTAGGATATTGAGGCTCTTAGTTTAACCACCCACAAGGAAGTGAATTCGTCAACAGGTGAGTGGGTCTGGTGGCAGATCATCTCCACTCAGGCAGAGATGATTATAGTTCTGATCAACACCTGATCACATCCTTGTGCGAAGCCCTGAGCCAAGGACTCAGCCGAGCTCCTCTTGCATGTCTAACCCACAGAACTGTGAAACAATAAGTAAGTAGTGTTATGCTAAGCCACCAAGGATTGGAGACACATGTTACACAGCATGCTTTCCCTTCATGCAATAACACTTACTTTAATTTCTGAAATTCTTCAACAAGGCTTGACTTCTGCCCAGGAGACATTCTTGCAAAGATGGTTCCATTCACCAGAATCTAAAAAGGAAAAATGGTCACTGCAATAAGATTAGGAAGAAGAATGCTTTTCAAATACAAGGCCTGAAAACTTACTCATGGCCACTAATTTGATACAGCATCGGTGGATCATCAGAGCAAATTCCAAGAAAGGGATTTAAGGCTTTGATTTTGAACTTTCATGTTAACCCTCCATCATAACTTGATTACTTTTTCCCAGACCATTTTCCAAGATGGGATGACCTCTGGTTAATAATAATAAAAACTAAAAGCAGCAGAGCAAATGGGGTAAAACTGCTGAAGGAAATACAGTTGTTTTTTACCAAACACTTTCTCTGTAATTGCAGCACAAGCAGAGGGATGAGCAATGAACCGGAAGTTGAGAAACAGTGTTCCATGCTCAGCAGTATCACAACTAGCTGTGCAAATCCAAGGTAAGTGGCTTAACCTCTCTGAGTTCAGCTCTCCATCTCTACAGGGGGAAGCTGGGCTAAAGCCTTTCTGGGAACCTTTGGGGTCTAGAAGCTAGGGTCCTTGGGGCAAGGCAAAGAAATTTTAAGACTGCTTGCAGATGGTCACTGCCCTCAGCTCAGGCTCCATTGATCTCCACCACATTGACTGCACAGCCCCACAGCGCTGTTTTAAAATAGGACACACACAGCACAAGATAACAGATGAGTTTGAAACGAAAACACAGGGCCTTTGTTTCCTTCTGCTGTGATTTAAGAATCCAGACAGGAAGGGGAATAGAACTCAGCTGGACATGAGTTGGTGGCTTTCAGGTGGCATGTTTGGGATTGTCTGGATGTTCTCCAGGTAGAGAGGAAGGGAAACAGGGAGGCTGAGGTTGGACTGCACACACCAGGACTCAGACTCTGAAGGAACCAGGGACCACGTGGGTACAGGTAGGCCCAGGGAACTCTTCCAGGAGCAGTGCTTCTCCAACTCTGAGACCATCCCTTTCAGAACTGTCTCCCTTTGTGCTCACAGGTTTTCTCATTTTATTTTGCTTTTGCTTTCTCTTTTTTACACACTATGAATTTATTTTCAAGATATAATTAAGAAACACATTATTAGGTTGAAAATTAGTAAATTATATAATATGCAGGATTTAAGTTGTGATGCATAAAATTTATAAATATTAAAAATACTGGAAAAGTGGTTAGCTGGGAAGGAAAATTATTGTCATATCTTAGGTGAAAACAGGATAAAACTATTTCAATTCCTCTTTGATAAATAATCATACACATGATCAATGTATCAATCAATCCAGGTGGGTTAGGCTATGTTACAATGACTCCAAAACCTTATTTAGTTTTATAACAAAATTTATTGCTTGTTCATGAAAAGTCCACTCGGGCTCTGGGAGATTCTCCTGTTTTCCTCAGTCATTTGAAGGGCAAGACAAAACCCTCCATTTATCCAGTACTTACTTTTGGAAGCAAGCTGTTGAAATGCTGAAATATCACCTGGTATGATTTCCCACTCATTGCAAAATGGTAGCAGCTCTGTCTTTCCCCATCAGGGCCTGAGGCCTTTCCAATGTTAATGGAGATTTCCTAAAATCAAAAGGGCATCATCACTCCACAGTGGCTCTTAAGGTATGTCTCTGCTTTCTTAGGTTTGTGTGGAAGGAACTGAATTCACGCAGCATAACAATGTGAGGATTGGCAGATGAATAATGAGTAATTCCCACAGAACTTTGACCTATAGGAAAAAGAAGCTCAGAATGTCCCCCCTCCAAAGTATGTGAACACCTGACCTCTGACAATGAGGTGCTGTGGTTCCTGTCCTGGGAGGTACCACATGTGCTGTCAGTCTGCTGAGGCAATCACACTGAGGCACCAGTCAATCATCACAAAGATGAACAGGAAACATTCTTCCTTCTTCTCCTCACTCAGCCTCACATTCCCTAAGGTCTCTTAACCATTCCTTTGTTCAAAAATTTTGCATTGGGGCAGGCATCTGGTGTGGCTGTTAAAATTATGCCTACTCCCATATCTGAGTGCCTGGTTCAAATTCCCGACTCTGCTTCAGAGCCCATCTTTCTGCTAGTAGTCACCTTGGGAATGATGGCTCAAATGACGGAGTCCCTGTCTCCTACACTGGAGACCTGGATTAAACTCTTGGCTCCTGGTTTAGACCTGGCCCTGTCCTGGCTATTGGGTGGGGGGCATATGAAGAATAATACAGAAGATGGGAGATTTATGTTTCTCTCTCTCTCTCTCTCTCTCTCTCCCTCCCTCCCTCCCTCCTTCCCTCCCTCCCTCCCTCCCTCTCTAAGTTGAGTTGATTTTTTAATGCCTAATCTTTTAGCACCTGATCTCTGACCTCTGTTGTGACCCTATCCCAATAGGTAACCCGTTTTTCCCATAGTGTTTATATCCCCTTGCACATCCTACCTTCTGGTGAACCACCATTAATCCTTTTCTAAAATCCTTTCCCTCTTGTCTTTTCCCCTGTCACTGTCTCCCCTGGCTGCCTTCTATCCCAGCTGTAAATGACTATGGATTCATTCCTCATGACAATAGCTGGTAATGGTTTTTTCATGCAGCATTTTCCAGAAGGCTTTACATTTGTGTAGCATGAGAGAAAATTTTATTCGTTAGAGAAATTCATATCAAGAAAAGCATTGCATGCATATCCGGAAGATTTTCTATGCTGAATTGGGAAACGAGGTAAGACACCCCTATATTGAGACCTCCAATTACCAAACAACCCATGAAAGACATGCTGTTAAGCATTTTTCATGAGACAAGGACAGAAACTCTTTTTGCTTGTGCTGGGAATGTGGGAAGATAAAGTGTTGTGGAGGAAGGCAGAGCAAAGGAAGCTTTCTCCCAGTAACAACCTAAACTTGAATAAAGCCATTAAATTCATGAATGAGTAGTATTAGTGGACTGTTCATTAAAACAGTGTGGGAGCTGAGTTCTATCACATGGTGAATCTGGCAATGTGTACTGATGTGGAAGCAAGGGGACTCCCAAGGAAACAAGCACCAAGAATCTGCTGAAAGCAGAGAGAGTGCTGTCATCTTTCACAGCCCATTCAACTGGGGTTTGAGCCAAGTTAATGCACCTCTTCCAGGACAGGCAGAGCCACTCTGTACAATTGTGCCATTTGAGTACTGTACAAAGGGTCCTGATTACACAATGGTCCACTCTGTACTTAATATGAAAGGCTTGCCAGCCTGGAGGAAGGGAACATTTTTGTAATCCATCACCTGGAGGGCCATGTCTTTGAATTCACCTGCAGTGATGAAATGTCAGGCTACAGCCCATTCTCATCATTTGAAACAGTTACTCTTGTCCAAGTGCACAGGTATCTTGCTGTCTAGAGAAGTCTAAGACCTGTTAACTTCATGTCACAGGCACAGTGCAATCTAAATGTCCATGGATTTGTGAGGAATACAACAGATGAGTCTGAGTTGTTTTTCTGCAACTCATCAGTTTGTGTCTTGTGTGAGCTTACATTTCTTTCTTTAAAAAAACACTTAATAGATTTATTTGAGAGGAGGAGACACAGATAGAGAGATTCCACCCAATGGTTTGCTCCCCAAATGTTCACTGTGACTAAGACTGAGCCGGGCTGAAACCAGGAGCTGAGAACTCAAGCCAAGTTTCATCGTGAGTGGCTGCTACTCAATCATTTGAGCCTTCCAAGGCCTGCATTAGCAGGAAACCAGAGTCATGAGCTAGAGCTGGGAATGGAACTCAGATACTAAGGGCAGCTTAACCACTAGGCTAAATGCACACTCCCCACTAACTTTTCTGAGTCTCGATTTTCTCATTGGTAAAATGACTCATTTGCCCAACTCATAAGGTTATTGTGAGGATCAAATGGCAAAAGAGGAGAGTATAAATTAATTAGTAGTTCCCAGCCATGACGGCACATTGGAATCACTGGACAAAGAGCTGATGCCAGTTCCCACCGCAGGGATTCTGATTAATTGTTTCAGCCTGAATCAGGAAGCCTAAAAACTCCTCCAAGTGATTCTAGTGGGCAACTGAGCTGAGAAGCCTGAAGGAAAAATCTGCAAACTGAAAAACTCCAGACAGATGTGAGGAGCCGCGATTGTGATGACTCTGAAGAAGAGAAGGCTGTGCAGTGCCAACGTTTGCTCACTTTCTTCCCTGGTCCCATCTCCTGGTTCTCCACCAGCTGCCAGGTCACAGAGGCAGGCACAAACTCATCTGGTTCATTGGCTTCCACGATAATCACTTGGCTGCCTGGAGGAATCATTTCAGAATTCTTTGCAACAGTAATGGCTGTTTGAAGGTTGTCACCTAGAAGACAAAGGAATTCTGCTTGCTTTTGACAAACCTCTTCCCCACAACCAGAATCAAGCTCTCCCTCCTCCAATTTGCTTGTTTTTTTTTTTTCCAACATTTTGAAAGTCAGAGTTACAGAGAGAGAGGGAGAAAGAGAGATAGATCTTCCATATGTTGGTTCACTCCCCAGATGGCCACAATGGCCAGGGCTAGGCCAGACCAAAGCCACGAGCCAGGAGTTACTTCCAGGTCTCCCATGTGTGTAGCAGCAGCCCAAAGACATGAGGCATCCTGTACTGATTTTCCCAGGCCATTAGCAGGGAGTTGGATTGGAAGTGGCTCAGCCAGGACTCTAACTGGTGCCCATATGGAACGCTGGCATCACTGGTGGCAGCCTCACAGGCTATACCACAGTGCCAGCCCCATGCTTCGTGCTCCTTAAGTCACTTATTTCATAACCAATTTTATCTGCCTGTCTACCCAAGGCTGCCCCAATGGACACTGTGCTTGTATCTCCCTCTCAAAATACTTAGCATCTACCCACTGTGTATTTCCAAAATACGCAGATGAAAAAAAGGAATGTTTAAGCACTTTTAAAATTTATGTATCTTCAAGAGATAGACAGCTCCTAGCAATGCACATAACATGACCACAGTTTAATAGTATAAAATCATCCAAATGTAAGTAGGGGAAACAGCAATTAGGGCTAGGCCATGCTTGGGCTTGATGATCATACACCATTCCTAGCCCTGCTACCTTGGGGAAACATAGTCTCACATCCTCCACACAGAACTCTCATTCTTGATTCTCAATGAGAGCACATCCATTCTACTGCTTAGCCATTTACTGTGAGCCCATCAGCACTGCCCAGATCCTGGAGAAGAGGAGCAAGCATTAGATAGAGAGAATGAGCTATGGTCCCTGCCTCCAGAGCTTCTGGTCCTGCTGAGGGAGCAACACAGGTGCACCACAGGGGAACAAAGTCTATGCAGAATAGTTTTCTCTCTTTCTCAGCCACAGGAACTCACTGAGCTCCACATCTTTTTCTGATGCCTGGGGTTCGGTCACCCTATTGGGCCTCTACATACATACCTGTGATCATCACCGTCCTGATGTGGGCCTCCCTCAGCTCCTTCAGCACTGGTTTGGTTTCCTTTTTCAAGCGATTCTCCATTATGAGAAGTCCCAGAAATGTTAACTCTGACTCCACTTTCTCTCTGCGATTCAGGAGAAAATCAATATTGAGTGTACCTGTGGAATCTCAGCAGTTGGATTTACTTCTTTTTAAAATTTCTAAGGCTTGGTAATGCAATACTTGCATATGTTAGAAAACAAAGTGGGGCAGCATTGTGGCATAATGGATAAAGCCACTGCCTATGATGCCCACATCCCCTATGGGTGCTGGCTTGAGTCCCAACTGCTCCATTTCTAATCCTGCTTCCTGCTAATGGCGTGGGAAAGCAGCAGAAGATGACCCACCCCTGTGGGAGACCTGCATGGAGTTCCTGGCCCCTGGCTTTTGCCTTGCCCAACCCCAGCTGTTGCAGCCATCTGGGGAGTAAACATGCAGATGGAAGATTCTCTCTCTCTGACTCCCTCTTTCTCTGTAACTCTGACTTTCAAATAAATAAATAGTTTTTAAAAAGTAAAGAAGAATCAAGAGCTTATAGGGAAAACCAATAGTCCCTGTGTCCATGCCACCTCATCCCTCTTCTTCGTCTCAGGGGAAACTTCTTTTAAGTATTTTAAAAGTTGCTTTTTCTCATTATCAACCCATTTTTTGGATAAAGAACAATGTACTTGTCTTTGACTCTTTCTGTTGGTTCTTAGGTTAATGATATATGATGGTACCTTATAAAGTTCATTAGAAACTCAATTAAAGTCTAATATACACTTTCCACGAATCTTTTAAGTACTCTTATATTTTTGTTTTTAATTTCTAAGAGGTTTCCCCCAAGTCTCCCACTTCCCCTCCCTTTGAACTTGCAATCACAAGTTATTTGACACTTATCGGTGCATGATGCATACAAGACACCATTTGAATAGATATCAGGTCATTTATTTTAGTCTGTATTTGTCACCTCCAGGAAATATATGCAATCGGCCAGGGCTCTGAAGAGCTTTCACAGTTTGAAGCTGGAGGCTGGGCATCTAATTTGGTTACATTAGCTACAGAGAACCTCTTCTCTGAAATGGAATGACTCTCAGGTGGCTTTTTAAGAGGGAAATGTGGGGACTGAGCGTTCTCTCTTGATTTTTCATTGTTCATTTTTCTATAAAGTGCAGTCAGGATTGTAGGGAGAGGGAGACCTAAGATCCAGCTTCTCTATACCATTAGTCAGTCCTCCATTCTCAGCCTGAATCTTACCCTCATCTTCCAGGGTACAGAGTTTATCTGAGTCTGGGCCTCTTTGGGGCTATGAAGGGTGAACCAGTTTTCTCTTACCATTTCTCTTTCTGGCTATGGTGTACATAATTTCTTCTACCCTGCTGACTCAGTTAGCAACTCTAGCTCTCTTTTCTGCACTTAGCACTTCTATAGTTTCTTTACTGTCATTTTAGTAGTTCTTGGGAAGTAAAAGAAAGAAACTCAGGATCAGTAAGCCTTCTTCAAGAAAAGGATCAGAGTTGGATGTCTTGATGAGAAATAGGCAAACTTGCTTGGGAACACAATGAAGTACCTTCTCTCTGGAGCAGACTATAAATTTCTACACCATTCATTCAACAGTCATTGCTCAGTATCCATGGGGATGTGGGGAATTTGTTGTAATACACCCCCGGCCCCCATGTATACCCAAATCTGCAGATGTTCAAATCTGCACATAAAATGGTGTAGTATTTGCATATAACCTACACACACCCTCCCAGATACTTTAAATTACCCCTAGATTACCAATAATGAAATGTAAATGTCATGTAATTGTTTTATTCTCTACTTGGGGGAGGGGAATAATGGCAGCAAAAAATCTGCACATATTCAGTACAGATGCAGGGATTTTTTTTCCTGAATATTTTAAATCCTCAATTGATTGAATCCATAAATTTGGACCTTACAGAATGGTGGCTGTACATTGTTTTAGATCTTGTATTAAGAACTTTGATGAATACTCAAATAATCAGATATTAATCTTTTCTTACTGATCTCAGAGAATAATAGAAAAGAAAATCCACCTTAATATAGGATTTGTTAAAGATTTTTACCATCATTTAGCTTCATTACTTTCTATTATAAATTGGACTAATCTTTTCTCATTAACTAGAACCAAAAAGACGATCTAAAACTCTCCTTACCAATTTATTCTGAATAAAGCATTTTATTTTATTTTAACACCTTTATTGATGTATAATTCTTATACAAAACTGCATAGATTGAATGCATTTAATTTTATGGGTCAGAGCAGTATGCATATACCTGCAAACCATCACCATGCTCAAGAAATAAACATGTCCATCACAGCCCAAAGTTTCCTTCTACCCCTGTGTTTTTGTTTTTGTTTTCTTGTGGTAAGAGCACTTGAGATCTACCCCCTTAATGAAAGTGTATAATGCAGTACTGTTATTAGGAACACTATTACATTGCATAGCACAGCTCTAGAACTTAATCATCTTGCATAGCTGAAGTTTTATATCCATTAAACACAAATATCTTAATTCCTTCTATCCCAGTTCTTGAGAGTCACCATTCTACTTTCTAGTTCCATAGGTTTGACTATTTCAAGGTATGTCATATAAACCTGATCATGCTGTACTTGACCTTCTGTGGCGTATCCTCCAGGTTTGTCCATGTTACCTCTTATGACAGGATCTCCTCAATTCTTAAAGCTCAATGACATTCTTGAGTGTGTGTGTGTGTGTGTATTTGTATAATATTTGTATAAATAAATATATATATATAGTATTTTCTTTATCCATTCACCCACTGAACATATAGATTGTCCCATGTCTTGGCTATTGTGAGCGATGCTACAGGGGACCCAGGAGTGCAGGTACCTCTTCAAGATCCTGATTTCATTTGTTTGAGGTATCTATGCAGAAGTAATTGTAGGAATTATTCACATGGTTCTTCTCTTTTCACTGCTTTAAAGAACCTTCATACTGGTTTCCATAGCAGTTCCACCATCCTACATCCCCACCAATAGTGTACAAGGGTCCTAGTTGTTCTATATCCTTGTGGACACTTGTCTTTCTTTTTAATAGGCATGAGGTGATCTCACTCTGGTTTTGATTTTCATTTCCTTCATACTTAATGAAGTTGAGAACCTTTTCATATACCTGTTAGCCATTGGTATGCCTTCATTGGAGAAATGTCTATCCAAGCCCAATGCTTATTTTTCAATTATGGTTTTTTGTTTGTTTAACTATTGAGCTGTATCCTTTGTACATTTTGGATATTAACTACTTATAATATATATGTTTTTCAAATATTTTCTCCTATCCCAGAAGTTGCGATTCCACTCTGTTGACTCTTTCCGTTGCTGTGCAGAAGTTTTAGCTTAATATGCACAGGCAAAAGACTGGAACTTGACTCTCACCTTGCACAAAAATCTATTCAAAATGTGTTAAAAATTTGAGCATGAGACCTGAAACTGTGAAGTTCCTGAAGAAAAATATAGGGTGAAATCTTCCTGACATTGAGCTTGGCAATGATTTCTTGGCTATGACTCCAAAAGAATAGGCAGTAAAATAAAAAATAGACAAATGTGCTTTGCTTCCATTTTACAATTCTTTCCTATGCCTCCTACTTCAGGCAATTGGTCCTCTTGCCAGCCTACAACATTCTCAGCCACACCTGTGTCAGGGCCTATGTACCTCCTATTTCTGTTCTTTGCAATGTTCTTCTGGATATCTGCACACCTTATTCTTTTGCCTTACCCAGATCTCTGTTCAAATGTCCTTCCTTGGAGGACCTCCCTGATAATCCCATGCAAAACATTGATCTCTGTCTTTTCAAAAATTCTCAAATCTGATTTACTTTTATGTTCTTAGGGGCATTTAAGAAACAGCAATGAGATGATATTTTGCAGATTTATTTTATTGTCCCTTTCCTCCAATTGGGACATAAGATTCATGAGGGTAAGGAATTTATTTAATTCACTTCTGAATGAATTCTCAGTGCCAAGGGCAACTAACACATAGTAAAATTCAACAGAAATTTACCAATCCAATGAAGAAGTAAATCTTGATGAAGTATTTCTCCTGATTTTTAGGTTGAGATTATTTTTTCCCCAGCCATCTCAAGAAACTCCTCTGTTGTCCATTTTTAACTTCAGTTTTTTTAGAAGTTCTTGAGTTTTGTAAATGGAAAATCTTACTGGATATAAATGGAGACTAAAAAATAATCAAGACCCTCTCCCTTTATCCTGTTTAAAAGTAGTAGCAAATTTCTTAGAAGCATTAAAAAGCTGCTGATAGTCCCTGGGGTAAACCTGGGATGATTCGACATCCAGCACATTTTATCCTTATTTTTGCATTTCTTGTACTCATAACATTGCCAGTCTCACTAGTGACTTTTAAATGACAACACAGCTGTGTTTGCATGTGCTGCTCTCCATCACTAGATCCATAAATCTCTTCTTCTCACAGGAGTTTAACATTCACCATTCCAACTTGTGTTTGAAAAATTGCAAAATCCTGTTTGTTATGAGCCTTCATGCTTACCCAAGAATAGCCAACACCTGGAACATTAAATCTCAGAATTTCATTTGTATATTTAAAGATAAGCTTTCTGATTCCATTTTGAAGACTAAAATATTGTGGCTGGAAAAACTCTGTAGAGATCACTCAGACCTTAGAGATTTTATTGATGGGAAAGTGGAAAGAGCCTAAGGTGGGGACACTGTTTACTGATTATCTCAGAGCTGATGGACTTATGTTGCAAATAATAGTGTTGAACCAAGAAGTGGAGGTTAATGTAATAAATCAAGATCTCTACCAACAATACAAATCAAAAATAAACAATATCCATTTTAACTGCTACAGTTTGCCATAGTATTTCTGTACTCTTTTGTCATAGATAATTTAGTGACAACTTTCAAAAACTGAAGAAAGATACAAGACAGCTGAATAGGGAAAAGATGTGCTGTTTCTGACTACAGGAAGATAGTAGAAGAAAAAGAGAGGAATCGCATTCCCAGAGGACAGCTGGAGAAAAGTTTGCAGTGGAAATTCTACAAAAAGAAGAGAGACACTGTAGAGCAGTGTGGACAGTACAATCTCACAGCAGCAAGTAGGAAACCACCAGCAAATCCCACAGCCAGTGGCTGGACAGGATATTCCCTTGGAACAAGGCACCTGGCAGTCAGCAAAGAGGAAATGCCATCTTAATAAGGCAAGTAGAGGTTGCTGTGGTATGTATGTGTGCTACTAGAGGACTCTCAGGGAGATAAATCTGTGTTCTCACTGACTTTGTGTCTGACCGGGAGGGTTGGCAGGGGGTAGGGCACCCACTTAGGCCCACGAAGCACTCCCTCCTCTCACTATATTAAGGTGCCCAGACGCAACTTGCCAAGGTGAAGCACCAACCAACCTCTATTGGTTAGGCAACTGACTCTGGGAATGCCACAACTCTTTCTGTGAACAGAGGAGGCTTGTGTAGGCTGAGAGTGGATCCCTTTCTCCCTATCACTGTGTAAGACTTGTGCCTATGACTGTGAGAATTCTGTGACTGCACAATAGGGCCTGTGATAGGGCATGGCTAGGTCTTTCGGCAATCACTGTATATGGCTCCAGAGGTTCAGGGTTCTGTGCTCACATTGAGGAGCCCAAAGATCCTTTTGCAGTTCATGCACCTGCTTGAGTAAGATGCTTAGGCACTGTGGGCTCACCCAGTGATTGGTTCACCTTGGAAGAGAGGAGCTGACACTGTGACCCACCAGCTGATGCCATCATACTCTCCCTTCTGCTGGTGGTAGAGGAGACCCTCCATGCCCAACTTAGTTGTTGTCCTGGACCCTTAACCCACACTTAAGCACTGGCAATAGCTCCTTGGTCCCACCCAGCATACACCTTTGGATAGCCACTGAAGGAGAAGACACTCCACTAAGCCACAGAGGCATATTTCAAAGATAAGAACTACCAAAAGAAAAAACCAACAAGTGTTTCCAAAAGTGCCTAAAAGTAAATGTAAAAATATAAGAAACATGAACAAGGAAGACAATATGACTCCCCAGAAGGAACACAACAGAATTTCAATATTAGAATGTGAAGATGAAGATATTAATGAAGTGCCCAAAAAGGAATTCAAAAGCATGCTCATAAGATTGCTCAAAAACACAGAGAAGCAAACACATTCGTTAAGGAAATCCATACATGACATGGATGAGAAAATTCTGGTGAGACAGACATTGAAGAGAAATCAAACAAATATTAGAAATGAAGAATTGGATATGTCAAATAAAAATACAGTGGAAAATCTTAACAACACAACTGGTGAAGCAGAAGAAAGAATATCCAAGCTAGAAGACAAATCTTTGGAATTCTCTCATTTAGATAGGAAAAGAAGAAGGAGGACAAGGAGGAGGAGGAAGATGAGGAGGAGGAGGAGCAGGAAGAAGAAGAAGAAGCAGGAGGAGGAGGAGGAGGAGGAAGAGTAAGAGGAGGAAGAAGAAGAAGGGGAAGGAGATGAGGAGGAGAGGAGAAGGAGGAGGAGAAGAAGAGGAGACGAAATAATAATAATAATTAGAAAAATAAAAATAGTGTTAGAGATTTATTAGATACTATCAAATGAACAAAAATACTCATCTTAAGAGTTCCTGAAGGTGTGGAGGGAGAATGGGTTAGATGATATAGTCAGTGAATAATAGCATAAAATTTTTCTAATTTGGAGAAAGATAAGGACATCCAAGTACAGATAGCACATAGAACTCTTAATAGACATGATCAGAAATTTCTCCACCATATCACATTATAGTCAGTCTTTAAAAGTAAAATATAAAGAAAAGATTCTAAAATGTGTACCAAAGATGCACCAGATTACCTTCAAAATATCTCCAATTAGACTGACAACTGATTTCTCATCAGAAATCTTACAAGCTAGAAAAGAATGGAGACACACAGTCCAAGAGCTAAAAGAAAAAAAAAACCTGTGAGCCCAGAATACTGCACCCAGTAAAGCTCTTATTTGTAAGTGAAGTTGAAATAAATACCCTCCAGAATTAATACACAGTTATTCTTAAGTGTTAAAAATTAACTGAAAGGTGATCCCTGTTAAACATAAGAGTGGGAATAAGAGAGGGAAGAGATGTATAATTTGGGACATGCTCAAGCTGACTTGCCCCAAATGGTAGAGTTAAAAACATACCAGGGGATTCCAATTCAATCCCATCAAGGTGGCATGTACCAATGCCATCTCACTATTCCAAGTGATCAATTTCAGTTCACAAATGATCATAATGAAAGGACTAAGAGTCAAAGGGAGCACATAAACAAGTCTAGTACCTGCTAACACTAACCGATGGAATAAATAAAGGGGAGAGTGATCCAACATGGGAAGTGAGATACTCAGCAGACTCATAGAATGGCGGATGTCCAAAATAGCACTCTGGCCTCAGAATCAGCCCTAAAGGCACTCGGATCTGGCTGAAAAGCCCATGAGAGTATTTCAGGCATGGAAAGCCAAGACACTCTGGCAAAAAGATCTCAGTGAGTGAGATCCCAGTGGAAAGAACAGGTCTTCAAAGAGGGAGGTGCCTTTCTCTGAAGGGAGGAGAGAACCTCCACTTTGACTATGACCTTGTCTAAACAAGATAAGAATCAGAGAACTCAGAGGGCTTCCATAGCCTTGGAAACTCATGACTGGAACATAGGGAGACTACTGATGCCATAGACAGGAGTGTCAATTGGTAAAGTCAACAACAGGAGTCACTGTGCACTTACTCCTCATGTAGGATCTCTGTCCTTAATGTGCTGTACACTGAGGCTTAATGCTATAACAGTACTCAAACAATATATTTCACTTTGTGTTTCTATGGGGGTGCAAACTGTTGAAATCTTTACTTAATGTACACTAAACTGATCCTCTGTAAAAAAAAGAAAGAAAGAAATTATCAACTCCCAACTTGACTCTCACTGGGATTAAACATGACAATAGGTCTGATCTGATTTCATCATCATTTAAAAAAAATCATCTATTATATTTCACTTTATGTTTCTGTGTGAGAGCAAACTGTTGAAATCCTTACTTAATGTATACTAAGCTGATCTTCTGTATATTAAGATAATCGAAAATGAATCTTGATGTGAATGGAGGGGAGAAGGAGTGGGAAAGGGGAGGGTAGTGGGTGGGAGGGACGGTACGTGGGGGAAGCCATTGTAATCCATAAATCGTACTTTGGAAATTTATATTCATTAAATAAAAGTTAAAAAAAAAAAGAAATAAATACCCTCCAAACAAGCAGAAATTGAAAGAATTCTTCACCACTCATCCAGTAATACAAATGATACTTAAAGAGGTTCTACACAGACAAATAAGATAGCCATCATTATGAAAGGATATGAATACACAAATCTCCTACTAAAAATACAAAGGAAATAAAAAATAAGAATGTTTATGCAAATATGTCAAGACCAAATCATTACTTATCAATAATAACTTTGAATATAAATGACCTAAATTCTCCAATTAAAAAATACAGACTGGATGGATGACTTAGAAAACACAGCCCATCTATTCCCTGCCTGCAAGAAACATATCTCACCAACAAAGATATAGACTGAAAATGAAAGAATGAAAAAAGATATTCCATACTAATGGAAAGCAAAAATAAGCAGCAATAGCCTTTGTAATACCAGACAAAATAGATTTTAACACAAAAAATATTAAAAGAGACAAAGAAGGGCATTATGTAATGATTAAGGGATCAATTCAACAGGAAGATGTGACTATGGTAAGTGTATATGCACTCAAAGCCAGGGCACCGGTTATTTAAAAGAAATGTTAATGGATCTAAAGGGAAACACAGGTTTCAATACAATAATAATGGGGGACTTTAGCATCCCACTTTCATCAGTGGACAGATGAACTAGACAAAAAAGAAAAACAATGAAGAAGCAACAGAGCTAATCTACATTACCGACAAATGGGCTTAATTGCTACTTATAGAACATTTCAATTCATAACTGCAGAACACACACTCTTCGTGAGTGCATGGAACTTTCTCTAGGATACCCATATGCTAGGCCATAAAGCAAGTCTCAACAAATTCAAAAACATTGAAATCATTCTGGAAATGCAATCATCTTGGGTTCCAAGATGGCAGAATAAGGAGGGAGCTTAGTGATCTAGTCCAGGAGAAGATAGATTAATAACAGTGGAGATAGTGTAGTCTCAGGGAAGTGTTAGGGAAAAACTGGCAGAGAAAACTCTTCTGTAATTAGAGGAACATGGAGGACCTATGTGGAGGGCGTGGGCACCCATGGCTGATAACTCTACCTGCTGAGAGCCTCTGCACCAGTGCTGGAAAGTGAGGTGAGATGAGACTGCAGTAGCCAAGACACCAGTGGAAAAGTGACAGGAAAAGCCTAGAGTAGGCTTTTCCCCCATGGGGGAAACTACACCAGCCTAACTAGAGGGGAGAAAAAATAAAAAGGACAGTATGAACATGATTGTCTCTCTCCACTCACCTTACAAAGGCATACAAGCAGATAGAGCAAGTACCATTTTGAAGATACATGACATCTACACTAGCTCAGGGCTGCACCCAGCAGTCAGCCAAGCAGCGAAACCTGACTCTGGTGGCGAATAATAACAGGAGACTAAGACCTAGAGAATGTGTGGAGCTTCTGAACTGGCACTGTGGAAAAAAAAATACTGAGGGTGTGTAGGATAACTCATGTTGTGGCTGAGACTTTGAGTGGTTTCGTTGGGAGACACCACAAGCTCGGGTGGCCCTGGCTACCCGGTGAGAGACATTGCAGGGGAATCTGAGTTTACACTGAGAACTGCAATGATCCTTTGTGTGGTCCTTGGGACAGAGCAGACAAATATTATACCCACTGGGGCTAGCGCTCAGGCACTGATCACCACCAAGAAGAGTTCAGTTGAGTGGAATTACTTCTCCTCTGATTAAAAAAGGAGAGAGAGAGAGAGAGAAGATTTACCATGCCAAACCTGGATGTGTCACCTTAGGCACACCCTTAACCCTGAAGAACTGAACAGAGCTCTCTGGCCACACCCATCATGAGCCTCTAAAGATTCCCTGAAAGCAGACAGTCCACGTATCTAGAGTAATAGTACAATGAGAAAAGTTACGACAGCAGAAAAAAAAAGAAACCCATCAATATCTCCACAAATGCTGAACAACAAATGCGACAACTCAAGAAACAAGAATAAGGAAGACAACATGATGCTCCCAAAAGAACATGACACTTCAATACAAGATTATGAAGATGATGAGATAGAAGAAATGCAAGAAATGGAACTCAGAAAATTGATGATAAGAATACTTAGAAGTAATAAAAAACGCATGAAAAACTGAAATCCATGCAGGACATGAAAGAAAATCTCTCTCATGAAAATGAAATTTAAAGAAGAATCAAAATGAAATGAAGAATTCAATAGAACAAATAAAAAACATATTTGAGAGCCTTAAAAATAGAATCAGTGAGGCAGAAGAGAGAATATCAGTCTTAGAAGACAGAGCATAGGAAAGTACAGTCAAACCAATGACAAGAAGAGGAAATTTACTCCTCATGTAGGATCTTTGTCCTTAGTGTGCTGTACATTGAGATTTAATGCTATAACTAGTACTCAAACAGTATTTTTCACTTTATGTTTCTGTGTGGGAGCAAACTGTTGAAATCTTTACTTAATGTATGCTAAACTGATCTTCTGTATATAAAGAGAATCGAAAATGAATCTTGATGTGAATGGAAGGGGAGAGGGAGTGGGAAAGGGGAGGGTAGCGGGTGGGAGCGAATTTATGGGGGGAAGCCATTGTAATCCATAAGCTGTACTTTGGAAATTTATATTCATTAAATAAAAGTTAAAAAAAAGAAATCTAAAAAATATTTTTGGGAGTCTACAGGATACTATTAAAAAAATGAACATTCTGGTTTTAGGGGTTCCTGAAGGCATGAGAGAAAGAGAAAAGATTAGAAGGCCTTTTTAGTGAGATACTAGCAGAAACTTCCCATGTTTGGAGAAAGAAAGAGACATCCAAGTACAGGAAGCACACGGAACTCCCAATAAACATGACCAGAAAAGATCCTTGCCATGACATTTTGTAATCAAACTCTCCACGGTGAAACATAAAGAAAAGATTCTAAAATGTGCAAGAGAGAAATGCCAGATTACTCTCAGAGGATCTCCAATTAGACTCACAGCAGACTTCTCATCAGAAACCCTACGGGCTAGGAGGGAATGGCGAGATATAGCCCAAGTTCTAAGAGAAAAAAAAATGCCAGCCCAGAATATTATATCCTGCAAAGCTCCCTTTGGGAATGAAAGTGAAAAACTTTCATAGCGAACAGAAATTGAAAGAATTTGTCATCACTCATCGAGCCCTGCAAAAGATGCTTGATTTAATGCTATAACCGGTACTCAAACAGTATTTTACGCTTTGTGTTTCTGTGTGGGTGCAAACTGTTGAAAGCTTTACTTAATATATGCTAAATTGATCTTCTGTGTATAAAGATAATTGAAAATGAACCTTGATGTGAATGGAAGGGGAGAGGGAGCGGGAAAGGGGAGGGTTGCAGGTAGGAGGGAAGTTATGGGGGGAAGGAAAGCCATTGTAATCCATAAGCTATACTTTCGAAATTTGTATTCATTAAATAAAAGTTAAAAAAAAAGATGTGTTACACACAGAAACACAGAAACACAGTCATCAATATGAAAGAAAGTAAAGGAAGAAAATCCCTCAGTAAAAGATCACAGGAAGTTCAAAGCGTATATTAGAAATATCTTTGGAAAAATGACAGGGCATAATCACTACTTATCCATAGTCACACTGAATGTAAATGGCCTCAACTCTCTAGTTAAAAGACACAGATTGGCTGAATGGATTAAAGAACAAAACCCATCTATTTCCTGCTTACAAGAAACACATCTTTCCAACAAATGTGTATGCAGACTGAAAGTAAAAGGTTGGAAAAAGATATTTCATGCCAACAGAAACCAAAAAAGATCTGGAATATGTATCTTAATATCAGACAAAATAGACTTTAACACAAAAACTGTTAAAAAAGACAATGAGGGGCCCTATATAATGATTAAAGGATCAATTCAACAGGAAGATGTAACTATTATAAACATATATGCACATAATTACAAGGCACTGGGCTATTTAAAAGATGTGTTAAGGGACTTAAAGGGAGACTTATGACTCTAATACAGTAGTATTGGGGAACATCAATACTCCACTTTCAGGAATGGACATATCAATCACACAGAAAATCAACAAGTAAACAGTAGATTTAATTAACACTATAGACCAAATGGATCTAACAGATATCTACAGAACTTTTCATCCTACACTTAAAGAATACACATAATTCTCAGCAGTACATGGAACTTTCTCTAGGGTTGACCACATACTGGACCATAAAGCAAGTCTCAGCAAATTCAAAGGAATCAAAATCAGACTATGCATCTTCTCAGACGACCGTGGAATGAAGCTGGAAATTAGCAACTCAGGAATCTCTAGAGCATATGCAGACACATGGAGACTAAGCAACATGCTCCTGAATGAATAGTGGGTCATAGAAGAAATAAAAAAGGGAAATCAAAAATTTTCTGGAAACAAATGAAGGTAACAAAACAGCATATCAAAACTTATGGGATGCAGCAAAAGCAGTGTTAAGAGGAAAGTTTATAGCAATAGGTGCCTACATCAACAAATTAGAAAGGCACCAAATAAATGAGCTATAAATGCATATCAAGGATCTAGAAAAACTACAGCAAACCAAACTCAAAACTAGTAGGAGAAGAGAAATAATTAAAATTAGAGAAGAAATCAACAGAATTGAATAAAAAATTTACAAAAGATCAGCAAAATGAAGAGCTGTTTTTTTGAAAAAATAAACAAAATTGAAACACCATTGGCCCAACTAACCAAAAAAAGGAGAGTGAAGACCCAAATCAATAAAATCAGAGATAAAAAAGGGAATGTAACAACAGGCACCACAGAAATAAAAGGGTCATCAGAAATTACTACAAAGAGTTGTATGCCAATAAACTGGAAAATTTATCAGAAATGGTTAGATTCCGGGACACATACAACCTACA